TACATCCGTGGACTAATCAAGGAGGAGGCTGAAACGCTGGTCACCCACATCTGCGACCAACTTTTTCAGAAAGTATGGTGCTAGAACACCATTAATCATTTCTGTGCACTTTGTCCTGTGCATTTTGAAGTGGGTAGCAGCACTGGAGTCTGAGAAAGCAGCTCTACATGCTTCTCCAATGTGATCACATGCCAGCATGGAACAGTGTTCAGCGATAGCTAATGCCATCGTGGCCTCAGACTTTTTTGCAGAGTCAATTTTCTTAACCATAAATGGCAGATTGTTTTGGGTGGAACTGTTATAAGGCTTTGCCTTTTGAGTATGTTTTTGAGTTGTCATTTGTTTCTTTACATCACTAAGTTTGGCGTAGAAATCAGCCTTACAATACAGGCAGTATGCCTGTGTATCATCTCCAATAAACGGCTTCAACCAGCCTTTGAATTCAGGGTTTGATTCCCACTCCTTTCTGTATTTTTGAGTGTACAGTTTAGACTGAGACATGATGAGCTAGCCAGCTAGATGTTTAGCTTATGTCACAGAGAGGCACACACACAGTGGACGAGGTGAGTAAGTGACTGAGGCTATGTGAGTCAAATGCAGTGATTTATTTTTGTGCAGTGATTTATTTTAGACAAAGAACATTTTACATTTACATCCCGCCCTTAATGTAAGCCAGGGCGGGATCAGCCAGCGGCTGACAACTGGGAACTCTGAAAAAAACTAGGTAAATCATGATGTCAAGTGATCTTCAGGTCAGGAAATCCGATTTGTAATTCCGAGTTGGATGACCGTTCAAAAAAAGAGTAATCCCAGGCAGAGCTAGTGTTTTTTTCTTCAGATTTCACAGTTGTTTTGAATGCACTGAAATCGGAAGTTGGTGATTTCCGAGTTCCCAGTTGTTTCGAATCGAGAACCACAGTATGAGTCATAATACCCACAAAGCCTAGCGGTCAAAAAGGAAATGGTTCCAATTTCTTTAAATTGTCTAGAGCAAGTTTTAAATTGACATAATACCTGTTAGCAAAGGTGTCCACTAGAGAGTATGTGCTGGAGCTTGAAGGGATTTGTAGTCTTGCATGATGTCTACTTTGGTTCTAATTAGCATTTTCGAATCTGAGAGTAAATAGAGCCACATATATTGATAAATGTCACCTTGTCCGAGAGAGATTTACATGGTTATCGAAACATCATGTCAGGGTAAGCCTACACGAAACACAGACCTTATTTTAAGTGTTTTAAAATTTCCCAATGGTAAAAAACGATTGGGACCATTTCCCTGTTTGACCTCTAGATTTTATGGGTATTATGACACCTCCACTGTGGGGCGTTCAACTATGAACTCGTAAATCTCCGAATTCCGACCTCAGTGCGTTCATAACATCTGGGAACTTGGAAAAAACAAGCTCCGACTAAAAAAATTATATTTGAACGGTCATCCAACTCTGAATTCCAACTCGGGACACTTTCTAGAGCTCAACTTTCCAACCTGAAGATCACTGACGTCATGATTTGACCTCGTATTTTTCCGACTTCCCAGTTGTTTTGAACGCGGCATTGAAAGTGCCATCTATGCTGCATTCCATGCAGTTTGAGCTACTCCAGGAAGTGGCGTTGCAGGCTAGCTCAGTGCTGCCCCCTCTCATTGAGTAACTCAAATTGAAAGCCGACCGGGGTACTGCATGCTGCCATTAGCAACTAAATTATCCTTATAACTTCTTCTGTGTGCAATTGTAAAATAATCGGTTAAAGGACAATACATGTATTAGAAGAAATTATTGGTACCAAGATTGTCTTCGAAACATTGTTTTATTTATACGAAGATTGACCACGAAGATTGTCATTTTTCCATTCACTATATAATAGGGGATCCTGTTTTCTGCTGACAAAGCCTGCAGTACCGCGATCAGCCTTGAATTTCCGTGACTTCAATGAGAGGTGGCAGCACTGAGCTATACTATGGGGGGCAGTCGTTCTCCCCTTGCGGGAAGGAAGACGACAAGCTTAGGTCTAAAATAAGCCCATAGAAACGCATTAATCTTATTTTGGACAGATTTTGGCGAGAGTGAAACCTCTCGCTTCGCTTCTTCCTCTCTGGTTAGGATACGTGAAATGAGCTAATTTGCGTTCAAGTGGCTGTGATTGGTTAGTTCTCTTACCAACCACCACTCCAATTGGCCAATTCTAGCATATGGGCGTGTTTTCAATAATAGAAGGTGTCGTCATTTCCTCAATTGCGAAAGAAGGGCCTGGCGAGATCGTTGAAGAAGCCTGTCCAAAGAGTAAACATATTTCATCAATAATATAGGATACGCCTCAATAGACAGTGTTATCGTATTTGTTGTGGGGAGAAGCTTTAAACAATTTACCCACAGCAATGTCGGCCCAAGCTCAAATGAGAGCTTTGCTCGATCAACTAATGGGGACTGCGAGGGATGGTGAGTAGCGAAAAGGCGGTGGCTAGCTTGTTAGCGTGCTAGCTAAAAGATGGAGCCAGTGGCTTGCAGTTAGCCTAGCGAACTAGTTTTTGTGGCGTGTGTCAGATGGCCATACCTTTAATGAATGGCGTACAAGAGGACGTCTGTGTGATATAAAAGGAGCGCATTCATGATTTGGACCCGGCCTAGTTGTTGTTTCACGATTTAATGTTTGTATCCATAGCTAATGACGTCCATTTCGCCATTAATTGTTGATAGACCAGCCGTCTAGATCAGTGATTCTCAACTATAGGGCCCCTGGGTGCTTCAGAGTTTTCAAGAGGTCCCTGAAAAATCTGGGATAAAACTCATGTTATAGCTACAAACTTAAGAATATTAAGTTCTTGCAACAACTTGCCATGTAACTCTGTTTTTAGAACATTGTGGGTATATATATTTTTTTGACTTGAGATACTATTACAATGTTATATGCATGTTTAAAAAAAGAAAAGTATATTTCTATGTAAGTATTAAGCAGTTTGTTGTGCTATGAGGTGTAATGGATGATGATAAACAGGTATCAAAACTGTCAAGCAAATTTACTTTCAAAGATGAGACCACCTAATACCCCCATCAACAAGGTTATACACACAACCCATAATGACAGAGGCAAATGCATCATCCTAAAATGCTTGCAGCGCTACCTCCACAACAATGCCTGCGAAAGTGGGTTAAAATGGCTAATAATCTAAAGCAGAAAACAATGTTTAACAATAAGACATGATCACTGGAAGTAACAATCAAAAATATGAAGTAGCTCTAACGAATAATAACAGTTTTGGAATTGATCACATTTTTTAGATGCTGGACTTAATATAATGTGTTTGAAACACCAAAGGTTAAGTATATATATTATACATAAGAATACCTCATGTTGGAAATACTAGAAAAGCTGATGCAAATAGTAAACTCATTTTTAAAAAGTAGAACTAGCACAATATTTTTTACAGTGTTGAGAGTCTGCATGTCATTGACAGGAGGTTAAAACAGTTAGTCATACAGTGCACAGTATCTACTATATTGTGTAGCATTTGTACAAGCACCACTTCTATAGTAAATGACGTATCTGGCTACAAGGATACAAACATTAAAAATATAACAGCCGCCATTTAGTAAGGTTGTAATGTCTACAATGGTAACATATAGAGTCGGATAAGCTGACTTCAATCCATGGTTCGTCTTTGGGCTTAATCAGACTAACAAAGTGAGTTTGTGTCGAGTGAGGTTGTGTGTGAGTGTTGAGATGAATTCAAATTTTTCCCGTACATATGTTGCATACAAATTGAACAATTGTGGCCCCTTTATTTTATTCATAAAGGTTCAGTGTATCTTTGCCAGCCTACATCAATCTGCAAAGGAGTTGCAGAAAAGCCTCATGTTCATCGAGCCGTGAGTCACATGATTTTTAAAGCTGTTATGAATAATAGTAATCCAAACAATTGTTTGCTTTCCGGAAGTTGTTGTACTTTTTTTTAGCATCACAACAAAGGACATTAAAATCTTCAATGACTCTTTGAATTACAATTTGGAAGTAGTACATGCAGCTTGAACTAAGACATTGTCTGGTTGCACTGAAAGCCAAGGAGCTTTAGACGTCTATTGTCAAGCAAGACGTCTATTGTCAAGCAATACAATCTGACTTGTGTATCATTCATATCAACTTCCTTACTACAGGTATGGGCAAGAAAACAGTTCCCATTTTATACTTTTCTACAGTGGGTTTAAAATTCTGCAGCTGAGGTCTTGAAGATGCAGATGGGTACAGTATATGTTGCAGCTCGCAGTGTGTATAAAACTAACATTTTTTTTCTTGGTTTTATTTTCATTTTCTATGTTCCATTTGTGTCAGGGACTTGCTTGGCGCCACCTATAGGCCAAGCCTAAATCTTTTTTTAATGGCCTTTTCTTTTGTTGGAGTTAGTGTGTCAGCTAGATCTCCTCCTAACAGCTGTTAGAGTGACACATGTAGCCCAGTTACGCTGAGTGACAATCTCATGAGACCAAGGTAGCCTGATGAACACCCATACAGTAACCATAAGAACACCCATACAGTAGGCTTACTACCATGTTGTGATTCTATAGGGCAATATTCTTTAGTTGAACAGGTGCTTTCAGAAAGACATAATGAAAGTGGAAAGTCAGTCTCAGTCTTAGCGAAACGTAGGCCTATATTATTACATGATTCATGTAGTATCGAGGCTCTGGTAAGGTAAGCCTCTAAGTCACGGCAGAAAATACATCAAGCCATCAGGGACACGCCACTCAGGTCCCAATGCAGGCCCCAAGTGGATGTCGTGAATACTGTCCAAAGGCACACATTCTGCCAGTACCATACATTGTAGCTCAATATATCTGTTCATTTCATCCCAATAAGGAGAATCCCAAGATGCAATTGTACAAATTGTCAAATCTATGCCCCTTTACCCTAATATGGGCACACATAGTTATGCTAAAGCATTGGATACCTCGCTCTAGTGGACGAGTATGTGAGGTCTTTCTGACTGTTGGTTTTGTACTGTTTCAGGGGATGAGACGCGGCAGAGGGTCAAATTCACTGATGAGCGGGTCTGCAAAAGCCATCTCCTGAACTGCTGTCCCCACGACATCCTCTCCGGAACTGTAAGCAGACTAAGCACTCTCTTCTTCCATTGTGTCCCCTCCAGGCAGGGACGGCGAAATTTGTTTTTTGAAAGGGGGTGTGGGGAATACGTATTTTTTTTAAAGCCTCATTTAGATATTCTTCTGCTCTAAATTTCTGACATTTGGTAGGCTATTTGTTAGTCAACTTGTCTTGTTGCTCTAGAATACTAAACAAAGCCTTGCTCACCAGAAGAATGTCCTACATCGATAAAATGAAAGAATGCATTATCAATAATCTAGTTGACGTTGGTAAAGTTTTCTCTTACATTTCTGCTTCTCTCGTGGAGCGAGGACATTTAGGGACCGGGGAGATTAAAAAGCTGAAATGTCTTGAGTCAATACGTTTTCAACCCCTTTATTATGGCAAGCCTAAATAAGTTCAGGAGTAAACATGTGCTTAACAAGTCATACAATAAGGTGCATGGACTCATTCTGTGTGCAATAATAGTGTTTAACATGACTTTGAATGACTACCTCATCTCTGTACCCCACACATACAATTATCTGTAAGGTCCCTCAGTCGAGGAGTGAATGTCAAACACAGATTAAACCATAAAGACCAGGGAAGTTTTCCAATTCCTCGCAAAGAAGGACACCTATTGGTAGATAAGCAGACATTGAATATCCCTTTGAGCATGGTGAAGTTATTAATTACACTTTGGAGTGTGTATCAATACACCCAGTCACCACAAAGATACAGGAAGGAAACTGCTCAGGGATTTCACCATGAGGCCAATGGTGACTTTAAAACAGTTAGTTTATTTGGCTGTGATAGGAGAACACTGAGGATGGATCAACAACATTGTAGTTACTCCACAATACTAACCTAAATGACAGAGTGAAAAGAAGGAAGTCTGTACAGAATAAAAATATTCCAAAACATGCATCCTGTTTGCAGTAAGGCACTAAGGTAAAACTGCCCAAAAAATTGCGAAGAAATTAGGGCTGACCCCAATTAGTCTACTGGTTGATTGTTTGGTCGATAGGCTGTTGGTCAACCAATATTTTTTTAGTCGAAGCAGTAGCAAATATATGTAACTCTATACGCCCATCTCAGTGAACTAATCCATTGTGGAGGCCTAGACTAAAAGCCAATTTATGCTTGATCTGAAAATGTTGTCAGAGGCTCCATATGGAGGGTGTGATGCAATTGCGGCGCCTCCAGAGGCACGCAGAGGCCATATCGAGCTCAGTACCGCATCGCCATGCGCCTCTCAAATGTTGTAATAATGCGGAGGGCTCTGTATAGCTCCGCATTGACATGATTGGTTGACGGTAGGTGGGGTTGGTACATCCTGTATAAACACAAACTCACTTTTACATAAGTATTCAGATGCTTTACTCCAATCAAGCTGTAGAAACATCAAGGATGATCAATGGAGGCAGGATGCACCTGAGCTCAATTTCGAGTCTCATAGCGAAGGGGCTAAATACTTATGTAAGGTATTTCTGTTTATTTTTGATAAATGTGCAACAATGTCAAACTGTTTTCGCTTTGTCATTATGGGGTATTGTGTGTATATTTATGAGATAAAAAAATATATATATTTTAGAATAAGGCTGTAACGTAACAAAATTGGAAAAAGGGAAGGGGTCTGAATACTTTCCGAATGCACTGTATATCACCAGTAATACATTTACTGTTAATTCTTATAATTTCTAATCAACAATGTTTGTTTGGTTATGGTAATTTCAAATCAAATTGTATTTGTTACGTGCCGAATACAACCTTACCATGGAATGCTTACTTACAAGCCCTTAACCAACAATGCAGTTCAAGAAATAGAGTAAAGAAAATAAAAAGTAACACAATAACGAGGCTATATACAGGGGGTACCGGTACCGAGTCAATGTGAGGGGGTACAGGATAGTCGAGGTAATTTGTACATGTAGGTAGGAGTAAAGTGACTATGCATAGAAATAAACAGCGAGTAAATAGTCCGGGTGGCCATTTTATTAATTGTTCAGCAGTCTTATGGCTTGGGGGTAGAAGCTGTTAAGGAGCCTTTTGGACCTAGACTTGGCGCTCCGGTACCGATTGCCGTGCGGTAGCAGAGAGAAGTCTATGACTTGGGTGACTGGAGTCTTTGACAATTCTTTGGGCCTTCCTCTGTTAATGCGTTCATGTGTGTATATATTATTATTCCAGTCTTACCATTGTTTGCAGAGTGCACAACCTATGCTACACTTGTGAGAAACAAGTTTTGGTTTATTTCATTCCATTTATGAGTTTTGTCAATTCAGTTTAGTCATTGACAGGAGCTCTCCAAACAAAATACAATGTTGATTACGCATAGAAGTATATAGGCCTATAGGCTACCTGGCCTGCGCACAAATTTGGGGATCTGATAGTATTTCTGATTGGCTTAACGCACCACCACTAATGATCTGTGGAGCTTCTCAAAGTAATGTTTTCTTCACCTCAAACAGCAAGCAAACAAAGTCTGTTTTAACATCTATTGAGAATGACAATAGTTCCTCAATGTAGGCTATTTGAAAAATCTTTCCCGCTCTCTCCTTTTCAATAACCACTCAGCATGAAAGGTAAAAATGTAATGTTCTGATCCAGTGGAAATGTCATAAAATAGGCCTACCTGATTACTTCTTGTCAGTGCTTGACTTGGACTGAAATAGGTTCCAGTACTCATTTTGGGTACCGGTACTGTTTTATAGTTAGGTGCAGGAGCTCCACAATTCTTTTGAGCTAATATGCTATAAGAGGAACAGGAGCTCAAGTAGTAGAACATTTGAGGTGCCGGTATTTGGCTCCGGTGAGCTCCTGCCCAAGTCAAGCACTGCTTCTTATCCCTTACACAAATGGCCTACAGCTGTGTCTGTCCTGAGCTCACTGGCTCTGGAGAATCTGAGGGCCCAGAATATTTTATACAATGTTGCAAGTTCGCTAGCACAAGCTTCAGGCCGGACCCAAGTTAATAGTTGTTTCAAGTTCGTTGCAGATAGGCCATTTGTAGCCAATGTGATTTATTGGATTATTTTTTTATCCTGATATTTTCTACCTGCAGGCTGCAATGTTTTTATCTGTTGGCTTTATGTAGGCTATTTTTACATACAGTGCATTCGGAAAGTATTCAGACCCCTTGGCTTTTTCCAAATTTTGTTACATTACAGCCTTATTCTAAAATTGATAAAATATAACATTTTCCTCATCAATCTACACACAATACCCCATAATGGCAAAGCAAAAACTGTTTTTTAGAAATGTTTGCAAATGTATTAAAAATAAAAACCAGAAATATAACATTTACATAAATATTCAGACCCTTTACTTTGTTGAAGCACCTTTGGCAGTGATTACAGCCTCGAGTCTTCTTGGGTATGACGCTACAAGCTTGGCACACCTGTATGTGGGGAGTTTCTCCCATTCTTCTCTGCAGATCCTCTCAAGCTCTGTCAGGCTGGATGGGGAGCGTCGCTGCACAGCTATTTTCAGGTCTCTACAGAGATGTTAGATCGAGTTCAAGTCCGGGCTCTGGCTGGGCCACTCAAGGACATTCAGAGACTTGTGTGCTTAGGGTTGTTGTCCTGTTGGAAGGTGAACCTTTGCCCCAGTCTGAGGTCCTGAGGGTTCTGGAACAGGTTTTCATCAAGGATCTCTCTGTACTTTGCTCCGTTCATCTTTCCCTCGATCCTGACTAGTCTCCCAGTCCCTGCCGATGAAAAACATCCCCACAGCATGTATGCTGCCACCACCATGCTTCACCGTAGGGATGGTGCCAGGTTTCCTCCAGATGTGACGCTTGGCGTTCAAGCCAAAGAGTTCAATCTTGGTTTCATCAGACCAGAGAATCTTGTTTCTCATAGTCAGAGTCCTTTAGGTGCCTTTTGGCAAACTCCAAGCAGGCTGTCATGTGCGTTTTACTGAGGAGTGGCTTCTGTCTAGCAACTCTACCATAAAGGCCTGATTGGTGGAGTGCTGCAGAGATGGTTGTTCTTCTGGAAGGTTCTCCCATCTCCACAGAGGAACTCTGGAGCTCTGTCAGAGTGACCATCGGGTTCTTGGTCACCTCCCTGACCAAGGCCCTTCTCCCCCGATTGCTCAGTTTGGCCGGGCAGCCAGCTCTAGGAAGAGTGGTGGTTCCAAATGAGACCACTGTGTTCTTGGGGACCTTGAATGCTGCAGAAATGTTTTGGTACCCCTCCCCAGATCTGTGCCTTGACACAATCCTGTCTCGGAGCTCTACGGACCATTCCTTCGACCTCATGGCTTTGTCTTTGCTCTGACATGCACTGTCAACTGCGGGGCCTTATCTAGACAGGTGTGTGCCTTTCCAAATCATGTCCAATCAATTGAATTTACCACAGGTAGACTCCAATGAAGTTGTAGAAACATCTCAAGGATGATTAATGGAAATAGGATGCACCTGAGCTCAATTTTGAGTCTCATAGCAAAAGATCTGTCATACCCAAGAAGACTCGAGGCTGTAATCCCTGCCAAAGGTGCTTCAACAAAGTACTGAGTAAAGGGTCTGAATACTTAGGCAAATGTGATATTTCAGGCTGTAACGTAGCAAAATGTGGAAAAAGTCAAGGGGTCTGATTACTTTTGGAATGCACTGTATTTGAGAAAATACACATTGGCTACATCATGTTATGGGTATGCTTGTCATTGTCAAGGACTAGGGAGTTTTTAGAATAAAAATAAATGGAATAGAGCTAAGCGAAGGCAAAATCCTAGAGGAAAACCTGGTTCAGTCTGCTTTCCAACAGACACAGGGAAACATTCACCTTTCACCAGGACAATAACCTAAAACACTAGGCCAAATATGCACTGGAGTTGCTTACCAAGTGGCCTAGTTAGTTTTGACTTAAATCGGCTTGGAAATCTATGGCAAGACTTGAAAATGGCTGCCTAGCAATGAACAACAACCACTTGACAGAGCTTGAAGAATTTAAAATAATAATCCAGGTGTGCAAAGCTTTTAGACACTTACCCAGAAAGACTCACAGCTCTAATCGTTGCCAAAGGGGATTCTGACATGTATCGATTCAATGGTGTGAATACTTATGTAAATGAGATTTCTGCATTTCATTTTCAGTACATTTGCAAAAAAAATCTAAAAACATGTTTTCACTTTGTGATGGGGTGTTGTGTTTAGATGGGTGATAAAAAATAATCAATTTTGAATTCCAGCTGTAAAAACGTGGAATAAGTCAAGTGGTATGAATAGTTTCTGAGGGCACTGTACGTACAAAATGTCTGAATGTCATCAGTTTGACCAGTTTTAAAGAAATGAAAAGCTGTGAAAATGATCCAACATGTTTCTGATAGTATTTCAGTGGATCTTGGATGCATATTTTATGTGGTTGAAAAATGAAATACTGTCAGCTTTTATGTTGCTGAAAAGAATAATCACGTTTAAGGTACACAACAGTCCCTATCCATGCATTCACATTCTCTCAAGATGCTGAAATAGATAAATCATATTTCTCTACTCTTGTTCCTGAGACAATATTAACATTTGGTGTATCATTTTACTGCAAGAAACACTTAATTATGCAGGAGTTAATGGTCTACATATGAGGCCTACAGTCAGTGTTCATACTTCTGTTACTATTCCAACTATTACTGTTCCCGTCTCTGCCTCCAGTGCTCTAAAGTGCAACCATTTTGGTCGCATATGCTCCTACATTTTTATATGGAAGCACCAGAGTACCTAGGGAAAAAATCAACCAGATATTAATTATTGTAATGATTAGGCTTTGCTTGTCCCTAGCCCAAACAGTTCAAAACGTATGACCCATATTGCCGGCGCTACGATTTCTTTCCTTCTGGTGGCATATACCATGTCGCAGCCATTCTGAAACTACTCACGGGCATGAACCATTTGTTAACACCTTGTTCAATCATGTTACCTCATTAGCTAAACATAAAGAAAGGAAAAGGGCTTCTTACAATTAAAATGTTTCTTTAGGAGATCAATGATCATAGCAATGAATTATTGACAAATCTCTTCAGCTTTAATATTGCAGATTAAACCCTAAATCTATCCAACTAATTGTTTGCATCATTTGTAATGCCCCATTCCCCCCCCCCCCCCCCCCCTTATTTTTCAACCCTACTTACCCCTCCCCTGATTGGAGTAAACTAACGGCCTACAATACGTCTTCTGCTACCGATGACTACGCTGAGTGTACAAAACATTATGAACACGTGCTCTTTCCATGACATAGATTGACCAGGTGAAAGATATGAAGGATTTTGAAGCCTTAAGACAATTGAGACATGGATTGTGTACGTGTGTCATTAAGAGGAAGAATGGGCAAGACAACAGATTTAAGTGCCTTTTGAACGGGGTATGATAGTAGGTGCCAGGCGCACCGGTTTGTGTCAAGAACTGCAACGCTGCTGGGTTTTTCACACTCAACAGTTTCCCGTGTGTATCAACAATAGTCCACCACCCTAAGCACATCTAGCCAACTTAACACAACTGTGGGTCGCATTGGAGTCAACGTGCCAGCATCCCTGTGGAACGCTTCGCCACCTTGTAGAATCCATGCCCCAACAAATTGAGGCTGTTCTGAGGGCAAAAGAGAGGATGCATCTCAATATTAGGAAGGTGTTCTTAATGTTTTGTACACTGTGTATATATGAATGGACAAAGCAATCGATCACGTGACACCATTCATTCCTATGTGAAGACTCAATAACACATTGAAGCCAAATTAAGTCTGTTAAGATGGCGTCTCATGGAGACATAACATGCGAAGTTTGAGCTACTCCAGTAAGTGACGTTACAGGCTAGCTCAGTGTTGCCCCTCTCATTGAGGAACTCTAGTTGAAGGCCAGCTGGGGTACTGTAGGCTGCCATTAGCAACTAAATTATACTTATAACTTCTTCTGTGTGCACCCATTGAGATATCAAAGAGGCGTGACCAGATCTTGTCCCTGTGTGATCACTACCTTCTCTCTCGAAATGAATGACTGAGCACAGAATCCATCCCTATGCGTCCGACAAATAGAATATCAAACAGAGTTCAGAGTGTGACGTCATATCAGAATGGGTGCTTCATCCAATATCACCTGTGACAGCTGTGAGCAGCCAGCCGCATCCCCTCACCAGCCATTAGCCTACTTAGCTGCTTCTCGCCGTCGGTTCCTTCTGCGCATCTCCATCAGTTTTAAAATGTTATTTAGCCGTGATGGTGAGCTGGGATGTGCAGACAGTGATGGGGTTTCTGTTACATTTGTTTTAAATATTAGCGCGGCTTGCTGTGCGAGCGAAATGGATAGGTATCTTTTCATTTCGCCGGTAAGAACAAGCAGGCCAGTCTGACTAGTTTTTGTTGTCACGTAGCCTCTAAATGCCACTGCCATAGAGGACAAATAGAGCACGGTGACATCCATGCTTGCGCCTTTACATCACTGAAATCCGCGAGTTTCTAGCCCAAACCACTCAAACGTTATGCCCCATATTACCGGAGGTACAGTACCAGTCAAAAGTTTGGACACACCTACTCATTCCAGGGTTTTTCTTTATTTTTACTATTTTCTACATTGTAGAATAATCAAAACTATGAAATAACACATTGAATGATGTAGTTACCCAAAAAGTGATAAACAAATCAAATATATTTTATATTTGAGATTCATCGAAGTAGCCACCCTTTGCCTTGATGACAGCTTTGCACACTCTTGGCATTCTCTCAATCAGCTTCATGAGGTAGTCACCTGGAATGCATTTCAATTAACAGGTGTGCCTTGTTAAAAGTTAACTTGTGGAATCTCTTTATTTCTTAATGCGTTTTAGCCAATCAGTTGTGTTGTGACATGGTACTGTGCCTTGCAAAAGTGTTCATCCCCCTTGGCGTTTTTCCAATTTTGTTGCATTACAACCTGTAATTTAAATAGATTTTTATTTGGATTTCATGTAATGGACATACACAAAATAGTCCAAATTGGTGAATAAGAACTTGTTTCAAAAAATCGGAAGAAAGAAATAACGGAAAAGTGGTGCTTGCATATGTATTCACCCCCTTTGCTATGAAGCCCCTAAATAAGATCTGGTGCAACCAATTACCTTCAGAAGTCACATAATTAGTTAAATAAAGTCCACCTGTGTGCAATATAAGTTTCACATGATCTGTCACATGATCTCAGCATATATACACCTGTTCTGAAAGGCCCCAGAGTCTGAAACACCACTAAGCAAGGGGCACCACCAAGCAAGCGGTACCATGAAGACCAAAGAGCTCTCCAAACAGGTCAGGGACAAAGTTGTGGAGAAGTACAGATCAGGGTTGGGTTATAAGAAAATATCAGAAACGTTGAACATCCCACGGAGCACCATTTTAAATCCATTATAAAAAAAATGGAAAGACCACAAACCTGCCAAGAGAGGGCCGCCCATCAAAACTCATGGACCAGGCAAGGAGGGCATTAATCAGAGGCAACAAAGAGACCAAAGATAACCCTGAAGGAGCTGCAAAGCTCCACAGCAGAGATTGGAGTATCTGTCCATAGGACCACTTTAAGCTGTACACTCCACAGAGCTGGGCTTTATGGAAGAGTGGCCAGAAAAAAGCCATTGCTTAAAGATGAAAATAAGCAAACACGTTTTGTGTTCATCAAAAGGCATGTGGGAGACTCCCCAAACATATGGTAGAAGGTACTCTGGTCAGATGAGACTAAAATTAAGCTTTTTGGCTATCTAGGAAAACGCTATGTCTGGGGGGGGTCAAGTTTTCTGTTTATTTGTCTTATTTCTTGTTTGTTTCACAATTTTTTGTATTTTGCATCTTCAAAGTGGTAGGCATGTTGTGTATATCAAATGATACAACCCCCCCCCAAATCCATTTAAATTCCAAATCCATTTTAATTCCAGGTTGTAAGGCAACAAAATAAGAAAAATGCCAAGATGGGGGGGAGGGGGAGAGAGAGAGAGAGTACTTTCGCAAGCCACTGTAGGGGTGCTATACAGAAGATATCCCTATTTAGTAAAAGACCAAGTCCATATTATGGCAAGAACAGCTCAAATAAGCAAAGAGAAACGACAGTCCATCATTACTTTAAGACATGGTCAGTCAATACAGAACATTTCAAGAACTTTGAAAGTGGCTCACATGAGGACCGCCACAGGAAAGGAAGACCCAGAGTTACCTCTGCTGCATAGGCTAAGTTCATTAGATTTAACTGCATCTCAGATTGCAGCCCGAATAAATGCTTCACAGAGTTCAAGTAACAAACATCTCAACATCAACTGTTCAGAGGAGACTGCGTGAATCAGGCCTTCATGGTCGAATTGCTGCAAAGAAACCACTACTAAAGGACACCAATAAGAATTGCTTGGGCCAAGAAACACGAGCAATGGACATTAGACCGGTGGAAATTTGTCCTTTGGTCTGGTGTCTCCATATTTGAGATTTTTTGTTCCAACCGTCGTGTTTTTGTGAGACGCAGTGTGGGTGAACGGATGATCTCTGCATGTGTGGTTCCCACCATGAAGCATGGAGGTGTGATGGTGTGGGGGGGTGCTTTGCTGGTGACACTGTCAGTGATTTATTTAGAATTCAAGGCACACTTAACCAGCATGGCTACCACAGCATTCTGCAGCGATACGCCATCCCATCTGGTTTGTGCTTAGCGGTACAGTCATTTTGTTTCTCAACAGGACAATGACCCAAAACACACCTCCAGGCTGTGTAAGGGCTATATGACCAAGAAGGAGAGTGATGGAGTGCTGCATCAGATGACCTGGCCTCCACAATCACCGGACCTCAACCCAATTGAAATGGTTTGGGATGAGTTGTACCGCAGAGTGAAGGAAAAGCAGCCAACAAGTGCTCAGCATATGTGGGAACTATGTGGGAGCTGGTTGAGAGAATGCCAAGAGTGTGAAAAGCTGTCATCAAGGCAAAGGGTGCCTACTTTGAAGAATCTCAAATATAAAATATATTTTTGTTTGTTTAAACTTTTTTTTTGGTTACTACATGATTCCATATGTGTTATTTCATAGTCTTGATGTGTTCAATATTCTTCTACAATGTAGAAAATGGTAAACATAAAGAAACACCCTTGAATGAGTAGGTGTGTCCAAACTTTTGACTGGTACTGTACCTTCTCCCCTTTCTACTACGAATTGGCACACATTTTATATAATTTTATAAACCATGTCGCTGGCCGCAAGTTTTTGGTTTGATAACAAACAACCTTGTTTAGTCATGTTACCTGGCTAGCTAGCTAACAACATGATACCTTGGCTATGCACAAATGTGGCACAGGAAACAAGAAATGGGATAGATGGCCTACTCAGAGATGCTTTAAAGGTAGGATTCATATGCCTAATCAATGTCATTCTAAGCTAAATCTCAATCAAATCAATATATTTTTCTAGTGTTCCTTAAATTCTATTTGGTGCGTCACTTTTGGGAGGGGGGTGTGTGTGTGTGTGTGTGTGTGTGTGTGTGTGTGTGTGGGAGAGGGAGGGAGTGAGTGAGAGGGTGTGTGTAAGGGAGGGAGAGTGTAGGCTATGTGTAAATTTGTCTGAAGAGTAGGCTAAAGATGGTTTCATATAGGCCTAGTGTGCTTTCCCCTTACAGCCATAATCATTATGAATTTGTATTCCTTACTGTATTCCTCCTGCCCACAGGTCGGCCTTCGGCCTGGTATCACATCGTTAGTACAATTTTGGTATTGTGACAACCCTACTCTGAAAATATGCAACAAAAAAAATTTCACATTTTTTTACCCCTTGCCAGTTTGCATCCATGGTTATGACACATCTCTTGCTTGTCACTCAGTCTTGACTTTCTTAAAGAGACAATGTAGAATTTTAATGTAAATCACCTCAATAGGAAATAGTGCTTTTAACACAATGAAAAAACCTAATATCCCACAAGTGACTTTGTATTTCAATGCAAGGTATTTGTATTAACATCTTAGCTATTATAATAAACAGATCTCTTTACAGGGTTACATATTAGTTTCTAGGGTAGGGAATCTTCATGTTACCCAAATATTATTGAATCAGCAGTTGAAGTGAATATTTTGTGACGTGACTTAACTTTCTAAAGTAGTTCACTGCAGACTATGTTGGAACTATGGCTGTGTCTTGTCTGGCTGACTTTGACTTCATCAACAGCGTATGGATCTGGGAGAATGTGCAAAGACCCACGACCTGGCACTCCGGGCCGACTATGAAATTGCCTCCAAGGAGAGAGACCTCTTCTTCGAGCTTGACGTAAGTGATATCAGTCAGTTCGATTTTAAATACAACTTAATTTATCCCCTCAGGGGCAAGTAAGTTGTACTTCTCCCAGTTCATTTTACCAGTGCAGCAGTCTGTGTTCCATTGACTTGTATGGAGTTTACTTTTCTGTTGTTGACTATAGGCTGTGGATCATCTGGAGTCCTTCATCGCCGATTGCGACCGGAGAACAGAGTTGGCCAAGAAACGACTGGTTGAGACCCAAGACGAGATCAGTGCGGAGGTGGCTGAAAAGGTGAGAGGGCAAGATTGACCTTGTTCACTGAATCTTATTGTGGAGTGTAAGGATGACATGTTGTTGAAAACGTTCTGATCTTGACACGATATATGCTGTTGTTGACATGTGTTGTTTGTATTATTCTCCAGGCAGAGACGGTCCACGAGCTGAACGAGGAGATCGGGAAGCTCCTGGCCAAGGCAGAGCAGCTGGGTGCCGAGGGGAATGTGGACGAGGCCCAGAAGGTCCTACAGGAAGTGGAGAAGGTTCGCAGCAGAAAGAGGGACGCTGAGGTGAGGAGGAGGGGTTGTTTTCCTCACGGCATGTTTCTTTTTCATCAAATCAATCAGTCAATCAAATCTATTTATAAAGCCCTTTTTACTCTTATTTTTTTATTTCACTTTTATTTAACCAGGTAGGCCAGTTGAGAACAGGTTCTCATTTACAACTGCTACCTGGCCAAGATAAAACAAAGCAGTGCGATAAAAACAACACAGTTACACATGGGATAAACAAAACGTACAGTCAATAACACAATAGAAAATCTATATACAGTGTGTGCAAATGTAGAAAGTTATGGAGGTAAGGCAATAAATAGGCCATAGTGCAAAATAATTACAATTTAGTATTAACACAGGAGTGATAGATGTGCAGAAGATGATGTGCAAATAGAGATACTGGGGTGCAAATGAGCAAAATAAATAACAATATGGGGATGAGGTAGTTGGGTGGGCTAATTACAGAATGGGCTGTGTACAGGTGCAGTGATCGGTAAGCTGCTCTGACAACTGATGCTTAAAGTTAGTGAGGAAGATAAGAGTCTCCAGCTTCAGAGATTTTTGCAGTTCGTTCCAGTCAATAGCAGCAGAGAACTGGAAGGAATGGCGGCCAAAGGAGGTGTTGGCTTTGGGACTGACCAGTGAGATATACCTGCTGGAGCGCATACTACGGGTGGGTGTTGCTATGGTGACCAATGAGCTAAGATAAGGCGGGGATTTGCCTAGCAGTGATTTATAGATTACCTGGAGCCAGTGGGATTGGCGACGAATATGTAGTGAGGGCCAGCCAACAAGAGCGTACAGGTCACAATGGTGGGTAGTATATGGGGCTTTGGTGACGAAACGGATGGCACTGTGAAGACTACATCCAATTTGCTGAGTAGAGTGTATGAGGTTATTTTGTAAATGACATCGCCGAAGTCAAGGATTTGTAGGATAGTCAGTTTTACGAGGGCAAGTTTGGCAGCATGAGTGAAGGAGGCTTTGTTGCGAGATAGGAAGCCGATTCTAGATTTAACTTTGGATTGGAGATGCTTAATGTGAGTCTGGAAGGAGAGTTTACGGTCTAACCAGACACCTAGGTATTTGTAGTTGTCCACATATTCTAAGTCAGACCCGCCGAGAGTAGTGATTCTAGTCGGGCGGGCGGTTGCAAGCAGCGTTCGATTGAAGAGCATTTAGTTTTACTAGTGTTTAAGAGCAGTTGGAGGCTACGGAAGGAGTGTTGTATGGCATTGAAGCTCGTTTGGAGGTTTGTTAACACAGTGTCCAATGAAGGGCCAGATGTATACAAAATGGTGTCGTCAGCGTAGAGGGAGATCTGAGAGTCACCAGCAGCAAGAGCGACATCATTGATATACACAGAGAATAGAGTCGGCCCGAGAACTGAACCCTGTGGCACCCCCATAGAGACCGCCAGAGGTCCAGACAACAGGCCCTCCGATTTGAAACATTGAACTATCTGAGAAGTAGTTGGTGAACCAGGTGAGGCAGTCATTTGAGAAACCAAGGCTATTTAGTCTGCCAATAAGAATGTGGTGATTGACAGAGTCGAAAGCCTTGGCCAGGTCGATGAAGACGGCTGCACAGTACTGTCTTTTATCGATTGCGGTTATAATATCGTTTAGGACCTTGAGTGTGGCTGAGGTGCACCCATGACCAGCTCAGAAACCAGATTGCATAGTGGAGAAGGTACGGTGGGATTCTAAATGGTCGGTGATCTGTTTGTTAACTTGGCTTTCAAATACTTTCGAAAGGCAGGGTAGGATGGATATAGGTCTGTAACAGTTTGGATCTAGAGTGTCACCCCCTTTGAAGAGGAGGATGACCGCGGCAGCTTTCCAATCTCTGGGGATCTCAGATGATACGAAAGAGAGGTTGAAAAGGCTAGTAACATGGGTTGCTACAATTTCGGCGGCTAATTTTAGAAAGAAAGGGTCCAGATTGTCTAGCCCAGCTGATTTGTAGGGGTCCAGATTTTGCAGCTCTTTCAGAACATCAGCTATCTGAATTTGGGTGAAGGAGAAGCGGGGTGGGGCATGGGCAAGTTGCAGCGGAGGGTGCAGAGCTGGGGGTAGGGGTAGCCAGGTGGAAAGCATGGCCAGCCGTAGCAAAATGCTTATTGCAATTCTCAATTATTGTAGATTTATCGGTGGTGACGGTGTTTCCTAGCCTCAGTGCAGTGGGCAGCTGGGAGGAGGTGCTCTTATTCTCCATGGACTTTACAGTGTCCCAAAACATTTTGGAGTTAGTGCTACAGGATGCAAATTTCTGTTTGAAAAAGCTAGCCTTTGCTTTCCTAACTGATTGTGTATATTTGTTCCTGACTTCCCTGAAAAGTTGCATATCGCGGGCGCTGTTTGATGCTAATGCAGTATGCCACAGGATATTTTTGTGCTGGTCAAGGGCAGTCAAGTCTGGGTTGAACCAGGGGCTGTATCTGTTCTTAGTTCTGAATTTTTTGACTGGGGCATGCTTATTTAAGATGGAGAGGAAAGCACTTCTAAAGAACAACCAGGCATCCTCTACTGACGGAATGAGGTCAATATCCATCCAGGATACCCGGGCCAGGTCAATTAGAAAGGCCTGCTCGCTGAAGTGTTTTAGGGAGCGTTTGACAGTGATGAGGGGTGGTCATTTGACCGCGGACCCATTACGGACGCAGGCAATGAGGCAGTGATCGCTGAGATCCTGGTTGAAGACAGCGGAGGTGTATTTAGAGGGTAAATTAGTCAGGATGATATCTATGAGGGTGCCCATGTTTACGGATTTAGGGTTGTACCTGCTAAGTTCCTTGATCATTTGTGTGAGATTGAGGGTATCTAGTTTGGATTGTAGGACGGCCGGGGTGTTAAGCATATCCCAGTTTAGGTCACCAAGCAGTACGAACTCTGAGGATAGATGAGGGGCAATTAATTCACATATGGTGTCCAGGGCACAGCTGGGGGCAGAGGGGGTCTGTAGCAAGCGGCAAAGGTGAGAGACTTATTTCTGGAAAGGTGGATTTTTAGAAGTAGAAGCTCAAACTGTTTGGGCACAGACCTGGATAGTATGATAGAGCTCTGCAGGCTATCTCTACAGTAGATTGCAACTCCGCCCCCTTTGGCAGTTCTATCTAGACGGAACATTTTGTAGTTGGGGATGGACATTTCTGCATTTTTGGTGGCCTTCCTAAGCCAGGATTCAGACACTGCTAGAACATCAGGGTTGGCAGAGTGTGCTAATGCAGTGAATAACTCAAACTTGGGGAGGAGGCTTCTGATGTTAACATGCAAGAAACCAAGGCTTTTACGGTTACAGGAGTCAACTAATGATAGCGCCTGGGGGGGGGGGGTAGGAGTGATACTGGGGGCTACAGGGCCTGGGTTAACCTCTACATCAACAGAGGAACAGAGGAGGAATAGAATAAGGATATGGCTAAAGGCTTTAAGAACTGGTCTTCTAGTGCATTGGGTACAGAGAATAAAAGGGGCAGATTTCCGGGCGTTGTAGAATAGATTCAGGGCATTATGTACAGACAAGGATATGGAAGGATATGAGTACAGTGGAGGTACACCTAAGCATTGGGTAACGATGAAAGAGATAGCATTGCTGGAGGCACTTATTGAGCCGGTCTCCGTGTGGGGGGTGGGACAAAGGAGCTATCTGAGGCAGGTTGAGCGGGACTGGGGGCTCTACAGTGAAATGGTACAATAAGAACTAACCGAAACAGAGATAGGCAAGTCATATTGACATGGGAGAGAGGCAAAAAGCAATCACAGGTGTTATTTGAGAGAGCTAAGACAACAACTGGTAATGGCGACAAAAGTTTGGGCTGAGGCTAAACAGATAAACAGGATGGGGTACCGTGTAAAGGAACAGTCCAGCAGGCATCAGCTGTGTAGCTGAGTGATCATAAGGTCCAGTGAACAGCAATAGGTGAGTCCGGGAGCAGTTCGATGGCTGCTACGGCACAGGCTGTTGATTGCGTGTGCTAGCGGGCCGGGGCTAGCATATTGATCTTCGTGGTCGTCGCAACGGGAAGCCTGTTGAAACCACATCAGGCGATTACGTCAGCAGACCAGTCGTGATGGATCAGCGGGGCTCCGTGTCGACACTAGGATGTCCCGTCCGGTTGACAGAGAAGTAGATAGCCGGGAGATGGGCCTAGCTCGAGGCTAGCTCAAGGCTAACTGGTGCTAGCTTCGGGACAGTGGTGATTAGCCAACAACAACATCCATTCGGTTGCAGCTAGCTAGTTGCGATGATCTGGTGTTAAAGGTCCAGTGATTCAGTGATTCCGGCAGAAAATCTGATATGTTCTGGGTCGATAGCGCGCTGTGCAGACTGGCCGATAATTAATTGTCCAGGCTAGAGCTGGCTGGTAGGTAGTGCAGGCCACGGACAATGGTGGAAACCGCTAACGGTGGCTAATAGCAAGTAGCTAGTTAGCTGGCTATTTTCAGCCGGTTCTAGATAAAAAGGTATAAGAAATAATAGAATCCGTTCCACATTGGGTGAGGCGGGTTGCAGGAAAGTATATTTAGTTGAAGGATGAAAAGCAAGATTGAGAAATATATATTAAAACTGGCTATTTACACGAGCACACTACAGAATACACGGCGGCACTGCTACGCCATCTTTGATATTGTGACATCAGCAGATGTCACAAAGTGCTATACAGAAACCCAGCCTAAAACCCCAAACAGCAAGCAATGCAGATGTAGAAGCACGGTGGCTAGGAAAAACTCCCTAGAAAGGCAGAAACCTAGAGAGGAACCAGGCTCTGAGGGGTGGCTGTGCTGGGTGGAGATTATAACAGTTCATGGCCATTAAGGCCAGATTTTTCTCCAAGATGTTCAAACGTTCATAGATGACCAGCAGGGTCAAATAATAATCACAGTGGTTGTAGAGGTTGCAACAGGTCAGTACATCAGGAGTAAATGTCACTTGGCTTTTCATAGCCGGGCATTTAGAGGTTGAAATAGCAGGTGTGGTAGAGAGAGAGAGTTCAAAACAGCAGGTCTGGGACAAGGTAGCACGTCCGGTGAACAGGTCAGGGTTCCATAGCCGCAGGCAGAAGAGTTAAAACTGGAGCAGCAGCACAACCAGGTGGACTGGGGACAGCAAGGAGTCATCAGGCCAGGTAGTCCTGAGGCATGGTCCTAGGACTCAGGTCCTCCGGGAGGGAGAGAGAGAGAATTAGAAGGAGCATACTTAAATTCACACAGGACACCGGATAAGACAGGAGAATAACACCAGATATAGCAGACTGACCCTAGCCCCCCGGCACATATACTATTGCAGCATAGATACTGGAGGCTGAGACGGGGGGTCGGGAGACACTGTGGCCCCGTCCGACGATACCCCCGGACAGGGCCAACCAGGCAGGATATAACCCCACCCACTTTGCCAAAGCACAGCCCCCACACCACCAGAGGGATATCAACAGCCTACTACCCTGAGACAAGGCTGAGTAAAGCCCACAATGATCTCCTCCACTGCACGAGTCAGAGGGGGTGACAAACCTGACAGGAAGGTCACGTCAGTGACTCAACCCACTCAAGTGACGCACCACTCCTAGGGACGGCATGGAAAGCACCAGTAAGCCAGTGACTCAGCCCCTGTAATAGGGTCAGAGGCAGAGAATCCCAATGGAGAGACGGGAACCGGCCAGGTTTGTCTCTCCAGTGCCTTTCCGTTCACCTTCGCACCCCTGGGCCAGACTACACTCAATCATAGGACCTACTGAAGAGATGAGTCTTCAGTAAAGACTTCAAGGTCAAGACCGAGTCTGCGTGTCTCACATGGATAGGCAGACCATTCCATAAAAATTGAGCTCTAAAGGAGAAAGCCCTGCCTCCAGCTGTTTGCTTAGAAATTCTAGGGATAATAAGGAGGCCTATGTCTTGTGACCGTAGCGTACGTGTAGGTATGTACGGCAGGACCAAATTGGAGAGATCGGTAGGAGCAAGCACATGTAATGCTTTGTAGGTTAGCAGTAAAACCTTGAAATCAGCCCTAGCCTTAACAGGAAGCCTTTCCGTTCACCTTCGCACCCCTGGGCCAGACTACACTCAATCATAGGACCTAGCACTGGAGTAATATGATCAGATTTTTTTGTACTAGTCAAGATTCTATCAGCCGTGTTTAGCACTAACTGAAGTTTATTTAGTACTTTATCCGGGTAGCCGGAGAGTAGAGCATTGCAGTAGTCTAATCTAGAAGTGACAAAAGCATGGATGAGCTTTTTTGCATCATTTTTGGACAATGATATTTGCAATGTTACGAAGATGGAAAAAATCTGTCCTTGAAATATTCTTAATATGTTCGTCAAAAGTGAGATCAGGGTCCAGAGTAACGTCGAGGTCCTTCAGTGTTTATTTATTTTTTAACGACTACAACCATCAAGATTAATTCTCAGATCCAACAAAAGATCTCTCTGTTTCTTGGGACCTAGAGTTTAAAAGTAAATCATTTGCAGCCATCCACTTCCTTATGTCTGAAACACAGGCTTCCAGGGTAGGCAATTTTGGGGCTTCACCATGTTTCGTCGAAATGTATAGCTGTGTGTCGTCTGCATAGCAGTGAAAGTTAACATATATGGTGAAAACAATAGTGGTCCTAAAACGGAACCTTGAGGAACACCGAAACATACAATTGATTTGTCAGAGGACAAACCATTTACAGAGACGACCTGATATCTTTCCGACAGATAAGATCTAAACCAGACAAGAACTTGTCCGTGTAGACCAACTAAGGTTTCCAATCTCTCCAAAAGAATGTGGTGATCGATGGTGTCAAAAGCAGCACTAAGGTCTAGGAGCACGAGGACAGATGCAGAGCCTTGGTCTGACACCATTAGATGCAGAGCCTTGGTCTGACACCATTAAAAGGTAATTTACCAACTTCACGAGTGCAGTCTCAGTGGTATGATGGGGTCTAAAACCAGACTGAAGCGTTTCGTATACATTATTTGTCTTCAGGAAGGCAGTGAGTTGCTGCACAACAGCTTTTTCTAAAAAAATTGAGAGGAATGGGAGATTCGATATAGGCCGATAGTTGTTTACATTTTCTGGCTCAAGGTTTGGCTTTTTCAAGAGCGGCTTTATTACTTCCACTTTTAGTGAGTTTGGTACACATCCAGTGGATAGGGAGCCATTTATTATGTTCAAAATAGGAGGGCCAAGCACAGGAAGTAGCTATTTCAGTAGTTTAGTTGGAATAGGGTCCAGTATGCAGCTTGAAGGTTTAGAGGCCATGACTATTTTCATGAATGTGTCAGGAGATATAGGATTAAAAAACTTGAGTGTCTCCATTGATCCTAGGTCCTGGCAGTTTTGTGCAGAGTCAGGACAGCTGAGCTTTGGAGAAATACGCAGATTCAAAGAGGAGTCCGTAATTTGCTTTCTAATGATCATGATCTTTTCGTCAAAGAAGTTAATCACTGCTGAAGTGAAAGGCATCCTCTCTTGGGGAATGCTGCTTTTTAGTTAGCTTTGCGATAGTATCAAATATACATTTAGGATTGTTCTTATTCTCTTCAATTAGGTTGGAAAAATACGATGATCGAGCAGCACTGAGGGCTCTTCGATATTGCACTGTACTTTCGTTCCAAGCTAGTAGGTAGACTTCCAGTTTGGTGGAGCGCCATTTCCGTTCCAATTTTCTGGAAGCTTGCTTCAGGGCTCTGGTATTTTCTGTATGCCAGGGAGCTAGTTTCTTGTGACCAAATGTTTTTTGTTTTTAGGCGTGCGACTGCATCTAGGGTATTACGCAAGGTTAAATTTAGATCCTCAGTTAGGTCGTTAACTGATTTTTGTACTTTGACGTCCTTTGTTAGGTGGAGGGAGTCTGGAAGGGCCTCTAGGAATATTTGGGTTGTCCAAGAATTTATAGCACAGCTTTTGATGGTCCTTGGTTGGGGTCTCAGCAGATTATTTGTTGCGATTGCAAACGTAATAAGATGGTGGTCCGATAGTCCAGGGTTATTAGATCCACAATATTTATTCCACGGGACAACACTAGATCCAGGGTATGACTGTGGCAATGAGTAGGTCCGGAGACATGTTGGACAAAACCCACTGAGTCGATGATCGCTCCGTAAGCCTTTTGGAGTGGGTCTGTGGACTTTTCCATGTGAATATTAAAGTCACCAAAAATGTGAATATTATCTGCCATGACTACAAGGTCCGATAGGAATTCAGGGAACTCAGTGAGGAACACTTTATACGGCCCAGGAGGCCTGTAAACAGTAGCTATAAAAGGGATTGAGTAGGCTGCATAGATGTCATGACTAGAAGCTCAAAAGATGAAAACGCAGTATTTTTTGGGGGGGGGGGGGGGGGGGTAAATTCACATTTGCTATCGTAAATGTTAGCAACATCTCCGCCTTTTCGGGATGCACGGGGGATATGGTCACTAGTGTAACCAGGAGGAGAGGCCTCGTTTAACACAGTAAATTCATCAGGCTTAAGCCATGTTTGTCAGGCCAATCACATCAAGATTATGATCAGTGATTAGTTGATTGACCATAACTGCCTTGGAAGTGAGGGATCTAACATTAAGTAGCCCTATTTTGAGATGTGAGAGATCTCTTTCAATAATGACAGGAATGGAGGAGGTCTTTATTCCGGTGAGATTGCTAAGGCGAACAACGCCATGTTTAGTTTTGTTCAACCTAGATCGAGGCACAGACACGGTCTCAATGGGGATAGCTGAGCTGACTACACTGACTGTGCTAGTGGCAGACTCCACTAAGCTGGCAGCTGCCTGGCCTGCACCCTATCTCATTGTGGAGCTAGAGGATTTAGAGCCCTGTCTATGTTGATAGATAAGATGAGAGCACCCCTCCAGCTAGGATGGAGTCCGTCACTCCTCAGCAGGCCAGGCTTGGTCCTGTTTGTGGGTGAGTCCCAGAAAGAGGGCCAATTATCTACAAATTCTATTTTTTGGGAGGGGCAGAAAACAGTTTTCAACCAGCGATTGAGTTGTGAGACTGCTGTAGAGCTCATCACTCGCCCTAACTGGGAAGGGGCCAGAGACAATTACTCAATGCAGACACATCTTTCTAGCTAATTTACACGCTGAAGCTATGTTGCTCTTGGTGACCTCTGACTGTTTCATCCTAACATCGTTGGTGCCGACGTGGATAACAATATCCCTATACTCGCTACACTCGCCAGTTTTTGCCTTAGCCAGCACCATCTTCAGATTAGCCTTTATGTCAGTAGCCCTGCCCCCTAGTAAACAGTTTATGATTGCTGGATGATTATTTTTAAGTCTAATATTGCGGGTAATGGAGTCGCCAATGACTAGGGTTTTCAATTAGTCAAAGCTAATGTGGGAGGCTTCGGTGGCTCAGACACCGTAATGGGTGAAGGAGAGACCTGATAAGGCTCGGCCTCTGACTCCGACTCGTTGCTTAATGGGGAGAACCGGTTAAAAGTTTCTGTCGGCTGAATGAGTGACACCGGTTGAGAATGCAGACAGCATTTCTTTCCAGGAGCCTTGAGAACATTGTCCGGCTGCGGGTGCGGGGGGATTTATACTACTATCTGTACTTACTGGTGGCACAGACGCTGTTTCATCCTTTCCTACATTTAAATTACCCTTGCCTAACGACTGCATCTGAAGCTGTGCTTGCAGCACGGCTATCCTCACCATAAGGCGATAGTTCTCTTGTATATTATGAGTACAACGACTGCAATAACTAAGACGTTGGTAAAATGTGTTAAATGAAGATTGATTAACAACAAGTTTGGCAGGTAGCCAAGCAGCAACAAACAGCACAGCAGCACGGAGAGAAGTGACGCGCTCAAAAAACTAGCCCGGAATGTAGACCTGGGCGTGTTCAGTAGGGCACAACGTAGCAAAAACATTTTGCAATGGAAAATTAAATGTTTGTTCTTATTGGACAAGGTTAGGTGGAACCGTCCTGTTTTTCACCACACTGAACTCGACCCCCTTCTTTCCTATCCTGACTCAATCTCTTTCTCCATCTCTTCGGTTCTCACCTTCTCAGGAGGAGTACAGAAACTCCATGCCTGCCTCCAGTTTCCAGCAGCAGAAGCTTCGTGTCTGCGAGGTGTGCTCGGCCTACCTGGGTCTCCACGACAACGACCGTCGCCTGGCCGACCACTTTGGTGGGAAGCTGCACCTGGGCTTCATCCAGATCAGGGAGAAACTGGAAGCCCTGAAGGTATGCTCTGAACCACCTCAGACCACATAGCTTACTTAATACACGTAGCGAGATGTGGATGTATAATCCTCAAAAGGGGATTTTTGACTGCTTTCCCCTTTTGAGGATTATACAGGGACATTGTTTGGGATTAAAGCACTGCAAACATCTCCCTTTTGGGATTAATTTTGCAGCAAGGACATTCTTTTTGACATTAGAATGTATTAACATGAGAACACATTTTAATGTAAACACTGAGGCTACTGTCTATGCTGAACACTGAGGCTACTGTCTATGCTGAACACCGAGGCTACTGTCTATGCTAAACACTGAGGCTACTGTCTATGCTAAACACTGAGGCTACTGTCTATGCTGAACACTGAGGCTACTGTCTATGCTGAACACTGAGGCTACTGTCTATGCTGAACACTGAGGCTACTGTCTATGCTAAACACTGAGGCTACTGTCTATGCTAAACACTGAGGCTAATGTCAATGCTCACCATTTTCTATCAGAAAACCGTCCTTGAAAAGCAGGAGAAGAGGAACCAGGATCGTCTGAAGAGGAGAGAGGAGAGAGAGAAGGAGGAGAGGATGAAGAAGAGGTGGGTACAGGTCTTAACTTTTCCAAAATAATGAAATTGATGTAGGCAAATTTGATAAACATGTCTGTGGTGATGGCAGCACTACTTGGAAAATATAATCGATCCGTGTACTGTATGTGGAGACAAATGCAGATATCTTCACTGTGGCATCTTATCAATTGTTTTCTGTCACTTTATAGGACCAAATCACGGAGCAGGGAAAGGAGCAGGGAACATAGAAGGTTAGTATAGGCCACCAGCCATCTACTGCCATATGAACCCTATTGAATACACTATCTCCTAGTTTATTGCTGTATAAAACACTTCTCTGTGTCCGTGCTGCAGGTCCAGCTCTCGCGACCGTAGGAGACGGCGTTCGCGTTCCTCGTCTCGGGAGAGGCGGCGTTCCTCCCGCTCTCGCTCCAGGGACCGGGAGAGGAGGAGACGCCACCGCAGCCGGTCCCGCAGCAAGGGCTGCCGCCACAGCCACGAGCCCAGCTCCAGACACAAGTAGGAGTACACACACACACACACACACGTTCCATCTCATTACTTAAACAAGTGCGCACTTAATCATAAAGCTTATTTTCATAATAAATACACATGACAAACACACACACACACAGATTTGTGTGTAACAAGACCGTGTTTACATTTCCAGGTCATCCAGGGATCGAGAGCGCTCCTCCAGAGACCGTTCACGGGAGCGAAGCAGGAAGAGGGGATCCTCGGAGCGGCGGCAGGACAGCAGGGATCAGAATGGGAGGACAGACTCCCGCCGGGTTGAGGACAGGGATAGAGACCTTTGACCTCTCTCGCTGTCTCCAACCTCAACACACAACCTCCTTTTGTCTCTCTCTTTCATATCTGTCCATACATCTATTTGAACTCTCCTTGTATGAATCCTCCCTCCATTCCCTTATCAGAATTGTCCAGAGATGTTTTGCTTTGACCGATATTCCAGCCAACCCACTGTCCCAAATACATAGCGCTTATATGACCACAGAAGTATATACAGTTAACTGCCAAAATAATGGAAACACTTGAGTAAATAAAAGCAGGTGCCTCCACATGTGTGGTTCCTGAGTTAATTAAGCAATTAACATTTCCATCATGCTTAGGGTAATGTATAAAAATGCTGGGCAGGCCATTATTTTGGCTACCATGGCTATGCTCCCATAGGATAACAATGCCCCCATCCACAGGGCACGGAGTGGTCACTGAATGGTTTGATGAGCATGAAAACGATGTTAAACCATATGCCATGGCCGTCTCAGTCACCAGATCTCTGCCCAATTGAACACTTATGGGAGATTCTGGAGCGGCATCTGAGACTGTGTTTTCCACCACCATCAATAAAACATAAAATCATGGAATTTCTTGTGATAGAATGGTGTCGCATCCCTCCAATAGAGTTCCAGACACTTGTAGAATCTATTCCAAGGTGCATTGAAGCTGTTCTGGCCCAACGCCCTACAAAGACACGTTATGTTGGTGTTTCCTTTATTTTGTCACTTACCTGTATATCGTACATGCATATATATATTTTAGTTTCAAGCGTTCAAATATATCTTGGGATAAGGGTGTGGGGGGTTGTTAAACATTGGGCGTGGGGGTACATAAAGTCCTGCCAGTGTATGTTAGATGTGATTGCTGTTGATTACATACATATGATTATATATATTATATAAAACTGTCCTAAATATTAATTTCCTGGACGAATCAGTAGCCGAAGCTAGAGAAACAATAAATTAATGACCATTGACCATACACTTAAAGAATAGAGCATTTCCATATTGCTGTGTTTTATGATGCTGTTAGTTTTAAACTGTCAGAATTGCTATGTGTGATTGAGATACTTTGCATAATCATACCTCCTGCGTACTGTCCTGGGTGATGTTCATTAGGCACCAAATGAAAGAAACCGGACTGAAACAGGGAGGGGTCACCTGGACTTGTCCAATAAAAAACCTAAATTTTTTATTTCCTGTAAAAACATTGCTAAATGTTTTCAGTTATTGCCCTAATAAACACGACCCAGCAGACTGTCTTGGATTGGCTTCTCCCTGCAAGGCTTTCTTCCCTTCCTAGAGGCTATTTCACAACGCTGGTTGCATCAATTTGCCATTTGATGTTGCACTAAATATTTAATATACCAGTAATCATAGAATCTCTTCTGCACATATCTGGCCTAAGATTGATAAACTAACCCATATTGTTATTTTTTGACTGGATCAGGACATTTGGAAATCAAAGGGAATTTGGTCAGTTGTGAATATCAGTGACCTCATTTCTGTCAGCTTGTGAAATACCCTCTGCTTCTATATCTGTGGTTTATACTGACTGAGGATGTTTATCGCTGGAGAGATTGTAGCAGTTCAATTTAATGTCATGATGACTAATACGGACAAGATTTTCATACGTTTTAGATTTTATTGTCCTTTGTGTTCAACGGTGGCTAGTTTTTTTTTTTCTCTCCATAGAATTGTACAAGTTTGTTCCAAGTTTTCATGTTGAATACAAATATTAACCCTTATTATCATAGTCTTGGCATGCGAGCGGTCAAGTCTGCATATGTGTGTAGACATGGACTTTGCATGCCTCTCCAATGTTTTGAGTAGTAAATGCTGTTTTGGATTGAAAATGACTGTTCCAGGCTTCTTACTGTATGTGACCCTAGAAGTTGGCTACGTTACCCTGGTAGTCCCCTACGTTACCCTGGTAGTCCCCTACGTTACCCTGGTAGTCCGCTACGTGGCCCTGGTAGTCCCCTACGTTACCCTGGTAGTCCGCTACGTTACCCTGGTAGTCCCCTACGTTACCCTGGTAGTCCGCTACGTGGCCCTGGTAGTCCGCTACGTTACCCTGGTAGTCCGCTACGTTGCATTGGTAGTCCGCTATGTTGCCCTGGTAGTCAGCTACGTTACCCTGTTTTTGGCCTACGACACTTTGTGCTGGGAACATTGTCTTAAGCACAGTAGGTGCTTATGTCCATTTCACTTTCCAATATTTTGATGCTGATTCAACAGTTTGTAAATGTTCTTTCTTTTTTGGTTAAAGTCAGTCACTTGAAGTTGGATGCAAACATATATAAATGATGCATTGCTTTTCCTAATGTGTGCCGTCTGTAGACTTTGTCTGGTCTGTTTGTATTATTTCCTGGAAGATGATTTTCTCTTGAAGCCTGAATAAAAATCCCAGTTTTCATGTATTTACCTAAGATCTGTGTAAAACTGAAGTTCTATTAGAAGAAAAGGCTTTCTTGTCTAATATATTGTGTGTATAAAGAATGGACAGAATCAAGACAAGTATACATTAATTTAAGTTGGTCTGCAAATAGCAGGGGGACATGGTACAATTGATTCAGTCAAGTCAACATAGAAAGGAGAGAATATTCCAGAGTACAGCCAAGATAATGGATGTACATTGTCTTAACAGAGGACAATTGCTCATAAAAAGTTTAACTTAAAAGCAAGCATTTACAACAAAAGGCAAAGCCTTGATTCAAGACTAGACAGTCTGACTTGAAGAGCAACCAATTACATAAAATTCATATCGGCATAATGTTCCATCCGTCAGTGAATGTCTTTTCATGGATAGAATCAAGACAGTCTTTGTAATTGTGTGCGTGCATGTATGTGTGCAGGGGTTGTTCTCTTTTAGCATGAGTCTTTTCCTTTTTAGGGGAGTGATACATGATATCTGACACTTGGGTCTTACAGTGTGCTACTCTCCAGTTTCAGATCCACCTTCATCTTCTGCTTTTCCATCACTGCCTCCAGCTCTGTGGCCTTCTTGGCGTCCTGGAAAAACAGCATTTCAATCAGGTACAAATTATGGTAGGTCAAAACATGGAAAGATGACACAACAGGGACATTATGGATTTAAAACTCAGAACTGTGTGCAGCTGGAGTAAAACTTGGAAAATATATTATTTTGTATTAGTTTTATACATAAGATAATGCTGAGGCACACTGCAATCATCATAGAATTAGTAATTGTAGAAGATCTATATGGCACTCATCAGAGGTTGCCTACTAAAATAATTCCCACTTATATGACCCTACACTAAAGTATGTGGACACCCCTTCAAATTAGTGGATTTGTCTATTTCAGCCACACCCTTTGCTAACAGATGTATAAAATCGAGCACACAGCCATGCAATCTCCATAGACAAACATTGGCAGTAGAATGGCCTTACTGAAGAGCTCAGTGACATTCAACGTGGAACCGTCATAGGAGGCCACCTTTCCAAAAAGTCAGTTTTTCACATTTCTACCCTGCTAGAGCTGCACCAGTCAACTCTAAGTGCTGTTATTATGAAGTGGAAACTTCTAGGAGCAACATGAGCCGTGAAGTGGTAGGCCACACAAGCTCACAGAACGGGACCGCCGAGTGCTGAAGCACCGAGTTCCAAACTGCCTCTGGAAGCAACTTCAGCACAATAACTGTTCGTTGAGAGCTTCATGAAATGGGTTTCCATGGACGAGCAGCCGCACACAAGCTTAAGCTCACCATGCCAAGCGTCGGCTGGAGTGGTGAAAAGCTCACCGACATTGGACTCTGGAGTGATGAATCATGCTTCACCATCTGGCAGTCCAACGGACTAATCTGGGTTTGGCGGATGCCAGGAGAAAACGCTACCTGCCCGAATGCATAGTGCCAACTGTAAATAATGGTCTGGGGCTTTTTCATGGTTTGGGCTAGGCCCCTTAGTTCCAGTGAAGGGAAATCTTAACGCTACAGCTTACAATGACATTCTAGACAATTCCGTGCTTCCAACTTTGTGGTAACAGTTTGGGGAAGGCCCTTTCCTGTTTCAGCATGACAATGCCCCCGTGCACAAAGCGAGGTCTATACAGAAATGGTTTGTCGAGATCGGTGTGGAAGAACTTGACTGGCCTGCACAGAGCCCTGATCTCAACCCCATTGAACACCTTTGGGATGAATTGGAACTTCGACTGCGAGCCAGGCTTAATCGCCCAACATCAGTGCTCGACCTCACTAATGATATTGTGGCTGAATGGATGCAAGTCCCCGCAGCAATGTTCCAACATCTAGTGGAAAGCCTTCCCAGAAGAGTGGAGGCTGTTGTAGCAGCAAAGGGGGGACCAACTCCATATTAATGTCCATGATTTTGGAATGAGATGTTCGACGAGCAGGTGTCCACATACTTTTGGCCATGTAGTGTATAATAATGTGCAGAATAGGTTGATCAGTACCTCCAACAGTGCTTTCTGCACAGTGAGCTGGCTGTACACTCTGGCGCCCTCGTCTGGTAGGACTTCTCGTAGGTCCTCCTTGTTCAGAGAGAAGAGCAGGGCTCCTGTCAGCTTTCCAAGTAACGTCACCGTCCTGAGGGGGGAGACACACACAGGTAGTCAGTCACTACCCTTCGTTTATCTATCCTATTCAATCATCCGTTAACAACTGAGTCATCTCTGTGTATGAACTAGAAAGATCTATTGAGTGACAGGGTTACTCAATCCAGGTCTTGAGAACTGTTTCAGGTTCAACCAATTACAATTGATTCGGTAGAAAGTAAATGAATATCGGTATATTGCGACAAATGCCTTTGAACTGATCAATAAGCAATGCATATAACTACAGTTAAAGTCTGAAGTTTACATACACTTAGGTTGGAGTCATTAAAACGTGTTTTTCAACCACTCCACAAATGTCTTGTTAAACTATAGTTTTGGCAAGTCGGTTAGGACATCTAGTAAAATTTCCAACAATTTTTTACAGACAGATTATTTCAATTATAACTCACTGTATCACAATTCCAGTGGGTCAAAAGTTTACATACACTAAGTTGACGGTGGCTTTAAACAGCTTGGAAAATTCCAGAAAATTATGTCATGGCTTTAGAAGCTTCTGATATGCTAATTGACATAATTTGAGTCAATTGGAGGTGTACCTGTGGATGAATTTCAAGGCCTATCTTCAAATTCAGTGCCTCTTTGCTTGACATCATGGGAAAATCAAAAGAAATCAGCCAAGACCTCAGAAAAAGAATTGTAGACCCCCACAAGTCTGGTTCATCCTTGGGAGCAATTTCCAAACGCCTGAAGGTACCACGTTCATCTGTACAAACAATAGTACGCAAGTATAAACACCATGGGACCACGCAGCCATCATACCGCTCAGGAAGGAGACGCGTTCTGTCTCCTAGATATGAATGTAATTTGGTGCAAAAAGTGCAAATCAATCCCAGAACAACAGCAAAGGACCTTGTGAAGATGCTGGAGGAAACAGGTACAAAAGCATCTATATCCACAGTATAACGAGTCCTATATCGACATAACCTGAAAGGCTGCTCAGCAAGGAAGAAGCTACTGCTCCAAAACCGCCATAAAAAAGCCAGACTACGGTTTGCAACTGCACATGGAGACAAAGATCATACTTTTTGGAGAAATGTCCTCTGGTCTGATGAAACAAAAATAGAACTGTTTGGCCATAATGACCATCGTTATGTTTGGAGGAAAAAGGGGGGTGGCTTGCAAGCCAAATAACACCATCCCAACCGTGAAGCATGTGGGTGGCAGCATCATGCTGTGGGGGGGCTTTGCTGCAGGAGGGACTGGTGCACTTCACAAAATAGATGGCATCATGAGGAAGGAAAATTATGTGGATATATTGAAGCAACATCTCAAGACATCAGTCAGGAAGTTAAAGCTTGGTCGCAAATGGGTCTTCCAAATGGACAATGACCCCAAGCATACTTCCAAAGTTGTGGCAAAATGGCTTAAGGACAACAAAGTCAAGGTATTGGAGTGGCCATCACAAAGCCCTGACCTCAATCCTATAGAAAATGTGTGGGCAGAACTGAAAAAGCGTGTGCGAGCAAGGAGGCCTACAAACCTGACTCCGTTACACCAGCTCTGTCAGGAGGAATGGGCCAAAATTCACCCAACTTATTGTGGGAAGCTTGTGGAAGGCTACCCGAAATGTTTGACCCAAGTTAAACAATTTAAAGGCAATGCTACCAAATACTAATTGAGTGTATGTAAACTTCTGACCCACTGGGAATGTGATGAAAGAAATAAAAGCTGAAATAAATCATTCTCTCTACTATTATTCTGACATTTCACATTCTTAAAATAAAGTGGTGATCCTAACTGACCTAAAACAGTGAATTTCTACTAGGATTAAATGTCAGGAATTGTGAAAAACTGAGTTTAAATGTATTTGACTAAGGTGTATGTAAACTTCCAAATTCAACTGTAAATCCTGGAGTTACTATAAGTCCACAAAGTCCCCATGACCAGAATAGGTCCCTGATTGGAATGGGATGAGTACGGAGTTTAGGGTTAGAGGGGGTCACGTCAAACTCACATCTCACTGAAGCCCTTCCCCCTGAGCCACTCCTCCACCTCCTCGGGGGGTGAGCGGTAGTCCAGGGGGACCAAGGTGTCTGAGGAGCGAGGGATGACCAGGGGCTTGTTCAGGCTGGCCTTCCCATTGGTCAGTCTCTGGAGCAGCTTGTCGTTCACCATCATGACTGAGGAGAGGGAGAGTTTTTACGATGTGTTATAGTGTTATCTACAGTAGGTTGTCTATCTCTCTCTGGTTGATCTTACTAAAACAGGGCAGCCATAAGACCTGAAAGCACTGTCTGTCGTTCTCTCCTGTTTTTATGTCATTCACACACAGTGCAAACAGACAACCACTTTCCCCCCTCTCTGGAGCCTCCCTCACACACACACTTGCGTGTGCACACAGACACACATACACATTCACACAACAGAGAAAAGACAGAAAGCGTCTCTGTATAGTGCAGCGCCTGAGCTGCTCCTCTGACACACAGTGCAGAAATATAAAGCCTCTCAGTATAGTGTGATACCTTTGTCTGTGTTATCTCCGGCTGGAATGGATTGGCTGTATGATAGTGGGCGAGGGCGGTGGTGGGCTGAGGGGCGAGGGGTCAAGGAGCTAGGATTCCAGGCAGGAGGGCTGGGAGGAGTGTGAGTCTTGGTCAGGGCAGGTGAGACTGGAGGCTGGACCGGAGCAGAGGGGAAAGGAAAGAGAGTGAACAACATTGATAAGGAATATTGAATCAATGAATGGAAAACCAGTACCAGTATGAGGGTGTGAGTAAAGGAATGGGCATGGATTGGGGTGTGTGTGTGCATGTGTGTGTTACATTGGTGTGTTACCTTGGGTGGTCTCATGGTCACAGGGCTTTCTATGTGAGACACTGGCTCCAGGATGTTGAAGGGGACAAAGCCGACCTCGTTGAAGCGATTACGACACTTCCACCAGCGTTTGGACGACTCCACCACCTGACACAGAAAAGGAGAGTAGCCAATGTTTATACAGAGAATAATTAAGGAAGAATGAAACAAGTGATAGACTTAATCGTGTGGTATTGCGCAACTCACAATTTTCTATTTCTAGCAGTGATAGTTGTTGCCCAGGTAACAACCCGTATGTATGTACAGTATGACCAGAATCTGGCAAGGACAAAGTGTACCTGTGCACCAATATTTGTTTACTAGGTTTTTTAACTCTGGCGTCACACCCTGATTAAACAATAATGCTTGATTGAGGAGACATTTCTTTTTACAGTACACCAATATTACCGGATTGTATACCAGATTTTGTCTTTATCAGCCATGTGTCTTACCATTAAAAGAGAGCCCTAGAAGCGTGGCACAGAGACTAGCTGCCAGGCGTGTGTTTTTCAAGAATGTTCCTGAATAGTTCTGTTGTGTAATGTTACGTAATGTCACTTAATGACTTTTCAGATGTTTACCTCCAGTGTATCTCCCTGTTGCACTGACAGCTCACTGTTGTTGCGGGCCACAAAGTCATAGCTGCAGCTGTACATCCTCTCTCCCTCAGGGGGTAGGACACTGCTATCCCTGAGAGGGACGGAGTGGATGATTGATATTACTACAAAATAAAAGTAAACAATACAAAGAAATAGTTTTGTTTTTAATCCAAAGGTGACTTCAATACGTACGCTTCATCGCTCATAGGGGTGACTGGAGGTCCAACTGGCTGAGTAGGCTGCAGCTGAATTAGCAAAGAGGGGGGGGGGGGGGGGGATGATGTCAGGACAGTACAGAGCAAATTCATATGATGTTACTCACTTTGTGAACTCCTCAATGTACATGATTGACATGGATGTACATCTCATATTCCATACCTGTTGTTTTTCCCGCAAGGCTTCATGTTTGTGTTGTGACTCGACCGGATCCTCCCAAACCTGCCCATCTGCCCTGGAGGCCTCTGGCTTCCACCCGTCCAGGAACACAGGCGTGTACGGAGCCACGGGCCCACTGAGCTGGGAACTTAGAGGAGAGAGAGAGAGTAATTGTAACAGTGTTGCTTCCGTCCCTCTCCTCGCCACTACCTGGGCTTGAACCAGGGACCCTCTGCACACATCGACAACAGTCACCCTCGAAGCACCGTTACCCATCGCTCCACAAAAGCCACGGCCCTTGCAGAGCAAGGGAAACAACTACTTCAAGGTCTCAGAGCGAGTGACGTCACCGATTGAAACGCTACTAGCGCACACCGCTAACTAGCTAGCCATTTCACACCGGTTACATAAGTAATGATCTTTGACCTTTAAAAAACAAATATTATAACGAATATTATAACCAGTGTAGACATAGCCTAGAACTTGACTGAGATGAGCCAAAGGAATTAGGTCATCTCTCTCCACAGTACTATTTCAGTGGCACGTGTTACTGGCTGACTAAATATTGACATTGGCATGTCATGCTGTCTCATCATGTCATGCCTGCGGCGGTGTCAGTAAAGAGAGCCATACAGGTCTATCACGTGAGACTATAGACTGCCACACTCAATAGCCAAGGGTTTATTCATAATAAGGGTTCATAGGGGTCCATGAGGCACAAAGCACTTGTTAGTACTGACCGTGGGAGTGTCCAGTGGGGCCCAAGGGCCGTCCATAGCTGCCTCTCCTCTTCGGACAGGTTGTCTTGAAGTAGGGATATGGCTGAGTTGGTCAGGGCAGGGCTGATCACTGAGGCCCCTAGAGCAGGGCCCCCAGTAATCCTCACCAGCTGGGGCCACACATGAAAGAGACCACAGTTTAGATCAGGATCATTGGAAATAATGGATTGACTGGAGAATTGGCAACAGTAGATTCATAATGAAGAGCAAGCTAGGCCTAATGAACTCTATGGTCCGGTTTTCCCAGACACAGATTAAGCCTAGTCCTGGACTAAACATAATTCTCAATGGAGATTCTCCATTGAAAGCACTTTTCTATCCAGGAGTTACTATAAGTCCACAAAGTCAGCAATACACAGGGAGTGTGTCTGAAAAACCGAACCTATAAAAGCGTCTAAAACATGTTTTCACTTTGTCATTATGGGGTATTGTGTGTAGATGGGTGACAGAAAAAAATCTATTTTATCAATTTTGAATTCAGGCTGTAACACAACAAAATGTGGAATAAGTCAAGGAGTATGAATATTTTCTGAAGGCACTGTACATGTGTAGCAATACACATGAAGTATATACGGACAAACATATGGACAAATAGACAGAGCAGACATACAGTATAGCCAATAAGTATGTAACAAAGGGAGTCAAAAATCTACATAATTTCTAAACATACTAATTTAGCCCTTAAATATGAGAATCACTCACCTATCTAATTTCATAATTGAGATGACATAAGAATACTAATGATCATATAAAAGTTAGTTTTAAAGATAATGCTTTTGTTCCCCCCCCCCCTTCTAGTTATAACGATCTAATCCTGTGTTGACAACAATAGCAACAGGTGTTGTCCCCATAGCTTTCTCCCTCTGTTGGCCTCTTATAGCCAGAGCATAAGCAATGGGTATAAAGGTTATCATTGTTGACTCACCATATCAAGAGGTTTGAACATATGGTGGAGCAGCTCTTCTGAGGATGGGTTGGAGATGGAAGACTTGAGACGAACCTGGAAATAAATATGATGAGTACACAATATCTAAACTGTTTTGTTGACATAGTAGTGGCAGTGTTCCCTTTACTCACCAGTAGACTGAAGCAGTATTTGAATTTTTGGAAGATATCCATGAATTCTTCTTTAGGTGGAGGGCAAGCCTTTGCAGTAAGCAAGTCCTCTATAGTCAAGGCAGAGAAAAAATACATTATCAGGAAAGGATCATTGATTTTAGCTTTGAAAGGCATCCTGAGTTGAACCAGTTCAGGAGGTCACTTGGCTAGCAAACCTATTGTTGCTCATGTGAGTAGTTTAGGACAAAACAAAAACAAATTCCTTATCCCTCTTACCCTCTGCTCTTTGCTTGCGACTTTTCTTATTTTTCTTCTTCCTCTGGCTTAAAACTGTGGCAGCCACTGCAGTCTGTTGTAGCTTTGCCATGAAGACCTCAATGTCATTGAAACAGTGATTAAGGATCCCCTAAAATTCAGACACATGAGAAAAGAGTTAACCCTACAGTAAAATTGTGATTAAATCATTTAATATTGAAATTGTAAAGTGTATTATAATATTATTACATACCACTTCTCTCTCAGCTCGTAGAAAATAAATATCAGGCTGAGGTTGCCCGCCGTTTACACCATTCGCTGTTGAGGACAGAAGAGAAGATTCCTAGCGTCCATTTCTATTCATTGCCATAGTTGGAATTTCCTGCATTCAGAATTCCTGCCCACTCTAACTCCCCACACACCTTCCCCCAACACACACAATGTAATCTCTGTATTCCTGATAATATTTTACCTTAAATACCTCTACCAGTGCCTCATTTCTCCCCTCCCTCCCCCTCTCTCTCTCTTCCTCTCTCTTCCCAACTCTTCCCCTCCTTTTAGCCAATTCGGTTCAAAGCATTTCATTGACATGGCAAACATGTAAATTGCCAGAGCATGCACAAACATTGGCTCTCAAACAAAGAAGATGGCTCCCATCTTTATACCTCTGATTCCTGGGTAAGGTGGAGGGTTGGAAAGCAGGGGGTTGGGAGCATGTGGAATGGGGGGGCTTGGAATTCCGTAGGGGTCCATCATCGCTGCTTTGGTATTTTGGGGAAGAACAGGGTCTATCGGAGGAAGTCTGGAGGAAAAGGAGAGAGAGATTTTTTAAAACCAGGACACTCATACTGTATCATGCACCTTTCTACCTTCAAGGGATAGTTTTTGTAAAGCACCTTTGTCATTTGACTTCATGGTTGGAATCCAGCGGATAAAACACAAATTAAGCTACAGTCAGTAAGGTCAATATTGTCACACCCTGGCTCTGGGACTCTATATGTTGAGCCAGGGTGTGTTCATTCTATGTGTTCTATTTCTATGTTGGGGGTTGTAGGTTGTGTATTTCTATGTTGGCCTGAGTGACTCCCAATCAGAGGCAACGAGTGTCAGCTGTTGGCTGGTTGTATCTGATTGGGAGCCATATTTATACTGTCTGTTTTCCTTTTGTGTTTGTGGGTTCTTGTTCAGTGTCGGTCATTGTTACCGTGGACTTCACGAGTCGTTTATTGTTTTGTTGTTTCGTGTGTGCACTTTAATTAAATAAAGTATCATGTTCGTTCATCACGCTGCGCATTGGTCTCTCCCTGACGATCGTGACAGAAGAACCCACCATAAAAGGACCAAGCAGCGTGTCCAGGAGCAGGCAGTCTGGACATGGGAGGAAGCGCCAGGAAAGGAGATGGAGAGGCTGGCGATGGCCCAGGTGGGCAAATCGTGGTCCTGGGAGGACATGCTCGGGGGCAAGGGACCTTGGGCTAGGATTAAGGCCCTGGCGAGAGAGGAGCAGCGGCGTCAGCAGTGCCATCGTCGGACGGACGAGAGGCAACCCCAAAAAAAATTTAGGGGGGGGCACACGGCATGGGCGGCTGGGCAGCAGGAGGCTGCCACAGGGCGATTTGGAGAGGAGGCCACCGGGTTAAGGGGGCCAGAAGGCAGGTTGGAGGAGCCTGGATGGAGAGCGGAACCAACTTCCCGTACTCAGGCATGGCAGCATGGGACGGGGCAGGTTCCGCGGTATGCTGTTATGCCAGTACGGGTACACAGCCCTGTACGTCCTGTGCGGATGCCTCACACAGAGTGTGTGAGGGTAGGCATTCAGCCAGGACGGGTTGTGGCCGCTCTTCACTCCAGGTCTCCTATCCGTCTCCACAGCCCGGTTCGGCCTGTCCCTGCTCCACGCACCAAGCCTACGGTGTGCGTCGCCAGCCCAGTCCGGCCTGTCCCTGCTCCACGCACCAAGCCTACGGTGTGCGTCGCCAGCCCAGCCCGGCCTGTCCCTGCTCCACGCACCAAGCCTACGGGGTGCGTCGCCAGCCCAGCCCGGCCTGTCCCTGCTCCACGCACCAAGCCTACGGGGTGCGTCGCCAGCCCAGCCCGGCCTGTCCCTGCTCCACGCACCAAGCCTACGGGGTGCGTCGCCAGCCCAGCCCGGCCTGTTCCTGCTCCACGCACCAAGCCTACGGGGTGCGTCGCCAGCCCGGCCCGGCCTGTCCCTGCTCCACGCACCAAGACTACGGTGCGCGTCGCCAGCCCGGCCCGGCCTGTTCCTGCCACTCGCACCAAGTATACGGTGTGCGTCGCCAGCCCGGCCCGGCCTGTTCCTGCCACTCGCACCAAGCCTACGGTGTGCGTCGCCAGCCCGGCCCGGCCTGTTCCTGCCACTCGCACCAAGCCTACGGTGCGCGTCGCCAGCCCGGCCCGGCCTGTTCCTGCCACTCGCACCAAGCCAGGGGTGCGAGTCGCCAGCCCGGCCCGGCCTGTTCCTGCCACTCGCACCAAGCCAGGGGTGCGAGTCGTCAGCCTGGTCCAGAACGTTCCTGCTACTCGCACCAAGCCAGGGGTGCGAGTCGTCAGCCTGGTCCAGCCCGTTCCTGCTACTCGCACCAAGCCAGGGGTGCGAGTCGTCAGCCCGGTAAAGCCCGTTCCGGCTCCACGCACCAAGCCAGGGGTGCGCATCGTCAGCCCGGTCCGGCCCGTTGCTGCTCCACGCACCAAGCCAGGGGTGCGAGTCGTCAGTCCGATGAGGCCCGTTCCGGCTCCACGCACCAAGCCAGGGGTGCGTATCGTCAGCCCGGTCCGGCCCGTTGCTGCTCCACGCACCAAGCCAGGGGTGCGCATCGTCAGCCCGGTCCGGTCCGTTCCTGCCTCACGCACCAAGCCAGGGGTGCGCGTCGTCAGTCCGGCACAACCCGTGCCTGGGTCATCGGTGCCAAATCAGGTACCGCTCAACTGCTCCACAGCGGAGCTGAAGCTAGCCGTTCCTGCTACGTTCAGGTCAGCTCCAGCCAGCGGGGCCAGACCGGACCAGGGGCGCTATGGGGGGATTATTGGAGGGTGGTGGGCAAGGCCGGAGCCAGAACCGCCGCCGAGGAGGTATGCCCACCCAGCCCTCCCCTGTTTTGCTCTTATTGAGGCGCGGTCGCAGTCCGCGCCTTTAGGGGGGGAGGGTACTGTCACACCCTGGCTCTGGGACTCTATATGTTGAGCCAGGGTGTGTTCATTCTATGTGTTCTATTTCTATGTTGGGGGTTCTAGGTTGTGTATTTCTATGTTGGCCTGAGTGACTCCCAATCAGAGGCAACGAGTGTCAGCTGTTGGCTGGTTGTCTCTGATTGGGAGCCATATTTATACTGTCTGTTTTCCTTTTGTGTTTGTGGGTTCTTGTTCAGTGTCGGTCATTGTTACCGTGGACTTCACGAGTCGTTTATTGTTTTGTTGTTTCGTGTGTGCACTTTAATTAAATAAAGTATCATGTTCGTTCATCACGCTGCGCATTGGTCTCTCCCTGACGATCGTGACAAATATCCTCACTTGCAACAAAGGCCTGCCACTGTCATGAATATGATTAAGGCAAAAAAAATGTTGTTCCTAAGACTTAGTTCATGACTGTTGCTAATAACAACCATTGATTCAACACCATGGGAAACGCCCTTCAGTAAATGCATATGGAACTGTGACATATTTAATCTCCTTGGTAAATAATGAATGACATATAGAGTCAATGGCACTTCCTCTCAAATGTGCATAATAGGTTTACAAAAGGAAGTCTTGAAATGAAGGCACAAACTATCTTGATCAGTGATAATCTAGTAAAAAATGTACTTTAAAAACAATTCAATGTAATATTTAACAAGCAGAGGTCCAAATATCAATATTTACGTAGGCCTACTGTGACTAACACACGTCAACTCACATTTATACAACTTTATATGGCTAAAATGACAAAGCAAATGTATTCCTCAACAACTTTAGACAGAATTGGAACAACAGATTTAGACAGATAAATAGTTTTGTCACGTTAGGTCGAGACATTGTTTGTTATTGGTCTGTTTGCTAATTCTCGAAGACACACATACACTCTTAGAAAAAAAGGGTTCCAAAAGTGTTCTTCGGCTGTCCCCATAGGAGAACCCTTTTTGGTTCCAGGTAGACCCTTTTTTGGTTCCAGGTAGAACCCTTTTGGGTTCCATGTACAACCCTCTGTGGAAAGGGTTCTGCATTGAACCCAAAAGGGTTCTACCTGGAACCAAAAAGGGTTCTTCAAAGGGTTCTCCTATTTCTATTTATTTATTTAACCTTTATTTGACCAGGAAAAGCCCATTGAGACCCAGAGTCTCTTTTTCAAGGGAGACCTGGCCAAGAAGGCAGCAACAATCAATACATTACAGAATTAAAACATACAACAATACAATACAATTCAACAACATGATCCAGCCTAAAATAAGCATTTACACTACTCTGTAACAGAGCCTCCCAGCATAAATCCTATGGGGACAGCCAAAGAACCCTTTAAGGTTCTAGATAGCACTTTTTTTCTAGGAGTTTACTGTACACAAAGTACTCAAATCAAATCAAATTGTATTGGTCACATACACGTATTTAGCAGATGTTATTGCGGGTGTAGCGAAATGCTTGTGCTTCTAGCTCCGACAGTGCAGTAACATTTACATTTTTTACATTTTAGTCATTTTGCAGACGCTCTTATCCAGAGCAACTTACTGTTAGTGAGTGCATACATTTTCATACATAACATCTAACAAGTAATATCTAACAATTTCACAGCATATACCCAATAAACACAAATCTAAGCAAGGAATTAATTAAGAATATATACATATATGGATGAGCAATGTCAGAGCGGCATGGACTAAGATAAAGTAGAATAGTATAGAATACAGTATATACATATGAGATGAGTAATGCAAGCTATGTAAACATTATTAAAGTGACTAAGATACCGTAGAATAGTATAGAATACAGTATATACATATGAGATGAGTAATGCAAGCTATGTAAACATTATTAAAGTGACTAAGATACCGTAGAATAGTATAGAATACAGTATATACATATGAGATGAGTAATGCAAGCTATGTAAACATTATTAAAGTGACTAAGATACCGTAGAATAGTATAGAATACAGTATATACATATGAGATGAGTAATGCAAGCTATGTAAACATTATTAAAGTGGCTAGTGTTCCATTTCTTAAAGTGGCCAGTGACTTCTAGTCTATGTCTACATACTCAACAATGTGCAATGTAGAAATATACACCAGGTAGCATCTAAATTATATCTTACCTTTTCTGTGTGTCCTTTAAATGTCCTTTAACTGTGGGTTTCAAAGTAATTCTGAGTTTAAGCCTGTGTCAGTGAACTGCCACCATCCTCTCCTCCCTACCACAATGGCCTTGTTCTCTCAGTCACACCTTAAGTTATGCAAAACCGGTCCAACAAGTCTGTCCTCTCGTTCTCAGCTGCTCACTCTCTCCCATCCACCTCTCTCTCTCCCTCTCTCTCTCTCTCTCTCTCTCTCTCTTGCGTGTGTGCGCTCGCTTTCAGTCTGACGTGCATACTCACCTTGGCCTAAATCCATATAGAAACTGAGAATGGATGGTAGTGATGCATAGAGGTAAACAACGTAAAAGTCATCTCTGGCTGTGGGACATTTCTACTTCCTTAAAAGTATCTATTATCTTTTCAATCTCTCTGTCTGTGTATGCGTCTGTGTCTGCAGGTGCATTCCGGCAGACGAGTAAAACAAGGGATGGGAATTATTTCTCAGTGAGGATAGTGTCACAGTGATGGATAGATGAAACAGGATACCTTTCCAACTCATCCTGCATTAAAACAATACATTCAACATTTGAAATGGCCGGAACTGTAACGCCTCACATGTAACCATAGCTAATTAAGCAGTATGGCTTTAAAAGACTAAAGTGCTTTTAAATAGTAGAATCATAAAGGTCATATGTACAAGCCCCTTAACCAAAATGTAATTTGTGTTTGTTAATTAATAAGGCATTGTCCTACTGTTCACGCCCCTTATATAAAGCAACTTTTTTGTCTCGCTAAATTGTATTGTGACCCCCATGTTTGAGTCACACATTTCCTCTATCCACAGTTCTATATATAGAGTGCCTTCAGAAAGTATTCATACCCTGTGACTAATTCCACATTTTGTTGTGTTACAGCCTGAATTCAAAATGGATTAAATTGATAATTGTGTCTCTCACACATCTACATATAATACCCCATAATGACAAAGTGAAAACATGTTTTTAGACATTTTTGCAAATGGATTGAAAATGAAATACCTAAATATCTAATTTACATAAGTAGTCACACCCCTGAGTCGATACATGTCAGAATCACCTTTGGCAACGATTAGAGCTGTGAGTCTTTCTGGGTAAGTGTCTAAGAGCTTTGCACACCTGGATTGTACAATATTTCTTCAAGCTCTGTCAAGTTGGTCACTCAGAAACATTCAATGTTGTCTTCATAAGCACCTCCAGTGTATATTTGGCCTGGTCTTTTAGGTTATTGTCCTGCTGAAAGGTGAATTTGTCTCCCTGTGTCTGTTTGAAAGCAGACTGAACCAGATTTTCCTCTAGGATTTTGCCTATTCCGTTTATTTTTATCCTAAAATAACTCCCTAGTCCTTGCCGATGACAAGCATATCCATAACATGATGCAACCACCACTATGCTTGAAAATATGAAGAGTGGTACTCGGTAATGTGTTATATTGGATTTGCCCCAAACATAACACTTTGTATTCAGGACAAAAAAGTTAATTTCTTTGCCACATTTTTATCAGTTTTACTTTAGTGCCTTAATGCAAACAGGATGCATGTTTTGGAATATTGTTATTCTGTACAGGCTTCCTTGTTTACATTCTGTCAATTAGGTTAGTATTGTGGAGTAACTACGATGTTGTTGATCCATCCTAAGTTTTCTCCTATCACAGCCATTAAACTCTGTAACTGTTTTAAAGTCCCCATTGGACTCATGGTGAAATCCCTGAGTGGTTTTCTTCTTCTCTGGCAACTGTGTTAGGAAGGATGCCTGTATCTTTGTAGTGACTGGGTGTATTGATACACCATCGAAAGTGTAATTAATAACTTCACCATGCTCAAAGGGATATTCAGCATCTGCTTTTTATTTTTTACCTATCTACCAATAGGTGCCTTTCTTTAAGAGGCATTGGGAAACCTCCCTGGTCTTTGTGGTTGAATCTGTGTTTGAAATTCACTGCTCGACTGAGTGAACATACAGATAATTGTATGTGTGGGGTACAGAGATGAGATAGTCATTCAAAAATCATGTTAAACACTATTATTGCACACAGAGTGAGTCCATGCAACGTATTATGTGACTTGTTAAGCACATTTTTACTACTGAACCTATTTAGGCTTGCCATAACAAAGAGGTTGAATACATATTGACTCAAGACATTTCAGCTTTTTATTTTTTATTAATTTGTAAAAATTTCAAAAAACATTATTCCACTTTACATTTACATTACATTTTAGTCATTTAGCAGACGCTCTTATCCAGAGCGACTTACAGGAGCAATTAGGGTTAAGTGCCTTGCTCAAGGGCACATTTACGTCATTTAGCAGACGCTCTTATCCAGAGCGACTCACCAATTGGTGCGTTCACCCTATAGCCAGTGGGATAACCACTTTACAATGTTTGGGGGGGGGGGGGGGGGTAGAAGGATTACTTATCCTATCCCAGGTATTCCTTAAAGAGGTGGGGTTTCAAATGTCTCCGGAAGGTGGTGAGTGACTCCGCTGTCCTGGCGTCGTGAGGGAGCTTGTTCCACCATTGGGTGGCCAGAGCAGCGAACAGTTTTGACTGGGCTGAGCGGGAACTATGCTTCCGCAGAGGAGGGGAGCCAGCAGGCCAGAGGTGGATGAACCAATGCCCTCGTTTGGGTGTAGGGACTGATCAGAGCCCGAAGGTAAAGAGGTGCCGTTCCCCTCACTGCTCCATAGGCAAGCACCATGGTCTTGTAGCGGATGCGAGCTTCAACTGGAAGCCAGTGGAGTGTGCGGAGGAGGGGGGTGACGTGAGAGAACTTGGGAAGGTTGAACACCAGACGGGCTGCGGCATTCTGGATGAGTTGTAGGGGTTTAACTTTGACATTATGGAGCATTGTGTGTAGGCCAGTGACACAACATCTCAGTTGAATCCATTTTGAATTCAGGCTGTAACACAACAAAATGAGGAAAAAGTCAAGGGGTGTGAATACTTTCTGAAGGCACTGTACATCACGCCAAATGTATTGATAAGGAGATGTACAAAGCATTATTTGTACTGTGTGTCTCTGAGTCGGAGGACCTCAGGGACGGCCTCCAGAACTATCTGCTGGCTCCACAGCTTCTCTGCCCAGGCCAGGAGGGACAGACACGACTGGGCTTCCTCCACACTCTTCACTTTGCCATTCTGCACGGAGAACATCACTTGGTGCTGCACAGGGAAGAGGAAGAAGAAAAATAAAGAGATTTGGGATATTTCCAAGGAAATCAATTAGAAACCACATCTACACAGGTATGTACAGTATTGTCATGGTTGTAATAACACAGTATAACAATGGTTATATAACAAATTCTGATATGACGTAATATAAAAACATTGAAGAAATCTTCGAAGCACTTATATTGATGAGATACCGTGAGACGTCTGTCATCATGTGACTTTTACTTGGAAAATGTCTGCATTTTCCTGGAGGCAGAAGGTTTGAGAGAAAACTATTACTTGATAACGGTGAAGATCACTGTTAAAGGATGATGAAACTAAAGGGCTTCTCATTCATAAACCATTTAGAACTGTAACAGAGGGTGTAGTCAAAATACCTTTGTTCTATGATGGGTGTAGTTAATTTGGTATTGTCCAACTGCTTTGATTCTAGCTATTTACTGTCATGAGTTAGTCTGGCTAACACCTAACTCAAAGTCCTCCTGACTTCGATGTTTTCGGTACGATACGTCCATTACGAAGGGGATGTGTTTTCTTTCTCACTCAAACAACCACACAGTTAGGAGCGCCACATGAAATTTAGGAGCACCAGAATATATATATGTATTTTTAATTGAGTTACAGCCTATATTGGGCCTATATGACTTCTGTCATATGGTGTGCCCTAGAAACTAATATGTAACACTGTAAAGACATTAGTTTATTATAAAAGCTAAAATATTGATACAAATACCTGTTATTGACATTTCAAAGTAATTTGTTGAATATTAGGTTTCTACATTGTGTAAAAGCACTACGGTATTTTCCTATTGAGATACATTACATTGAAAATTGTACACTGTCTCTTTAAAAACGTCAGGTTTGTAATGATGACATGTAAGAGATCTGTCATTCATTCATTGCTATGCTATGAACATTGATCTCCTGAAGAAACTATCCATTGTCCTTTCTGTCTGTGCCACCAAATGTTTGGATATACTAGTAAAGTTAGCTAACTTGCCAATGAGGTAACATGACTGAACAAGGTGTAAACAAATCGTTAACGCGTGCAACCATGACACTATCGAATCTGCACTCACTTTTTTCTCTAGGGCAGGGTTCATCAATTAGAATCAGCCACTTGCCGACATTTTCTTGAGTGGATGGTCAGCTGGCCTGAACATAATTACCTTGCTTACATACAATCACATATACTCAGTGGACCGTTAATTAGTTAAACCACCCCATTCACGAAAATTGTTAGCTCTTACAGACATTAGTCACATGGCCGTGGCTTGCTATATAAAGCAGGCAGACAGGCATCGAGGCATTCAGTTACTGTTCGATTGAACGTTAGAATGGGCAAAAACAAGTGACCTAAGCGACTTTGAACGTGGTATGATCGTTGGTGCCAGGCACGCTGGTTCCAGTATCTCAGAAACAGCCAGCCTCCTGGGCTTTTCACACATGACAGAGTCTAGGGTTTACCGAGAATGGCGCGACAAACAAAAAACATCCAGTCAGCGGCAGTCCTATGGGCGAATACAGCTCATTGATGAGAGGTCGAAGTAGAATAACAAGAATCATGCAAGCTAACAGGCGCGCCACAATCAGGCAAATAACGGCGCAGTACAACAGTGGTGTACAGAACGGCATCTCGGAAAACGCAACTCGTCGGTCCTTGTCACGGATGGGCTATTGCAGCAGACGACCACACCGGGTTCCACTCCTATCAGCTAAAAACAAGAAGAAGCGGCTCCAGTGGGCACACGATCACCAACACTGGACAATTGAGGAGTGGAAAAACATCGCCTGGTTCGACGAATCCCGGTTCCTGTTGCGTCAAACTGATGGCAGAGTCAGGATTAGGCGTAAGCATCATGAGTCCAAGGCCCCATCCTGCCTGGTGTTAACGGTACAGGCTGGTGGTGGTGGTGTAATAGTGGGGAGTGTTTTCCTGAAACACGTTAGGTCCCCTGATAGCAATTGAGCAATGTTTGAACGCCACAGCATATCTGAACATTGTTGCTGACCAGGTATATCCCTTCATGGCTACAGCGGGGTCAGACCCAGTACTACACTGAACAAAAATATAAACGCAACATGTAAAGTGTTGGTCCCATGTT